GGGGCGTCATCATCTTTTTTACAGTCTATGGTACCGAGTCGACCATTCTCTGCGTTTTCATGATAATTGAATGTACCCAGTTTTATCTTTAATTTTAGTTTTACATAACGCTAGTATATAGGCCATAGAAAAAGTAAAAATAAAAATCGCTAGTTAATACCACTAACAAGGCTCAAAATAGCCCCAAACTAACACGGTAGCATAATTAGGGTCTCTCCCTGCAAACCGAATCATTGAGAACTTTGCTACGTGCTGGTCAATAGTCACAGTTCAGCTCACGTAGCTGTAGTGGTAATTTTCAACATAAAAAAATCAAGTATATCATTGTGTATGTCTCTCTATAGACTTTTGAGCACACACTAACAGCAATGGAGGACATCTGTGGCCGAATGGGAGATAACTGGTGGACCAGACAGTGAGCATTTCACTTTACAATATATATACTTTATATTTGAGCACTTTTACTCATTTTTTTTCTCCTTCTTTTTCTTAGTTGGAAAAATTTTGAAGACAAGTATGTCTGCTGGCTATTAATGAAGAGTGATGCCAGAAAGCACAACGACAATATATTTGGTGCCTTCCACAAACTCAATCTTGAGGACGCCAAAAACTATGTCACTGCGGTGAGGGAGCAAAACTACTAATTCAGCATAGTACCTTCAATTATTTACTTGCTGAATGTTCTGTTTCCATTTTTTGATACTTTAGATACTGAATGTACTCAATAGTGTTTTTCACATTTAGGGTGAACACAAAGGTTCTTTGGCTTTCATTCGTAATGATGACAATGCCTCTGTAGACTTCAAGAAGAAGCTTGCATTAGAGTATGACGATGTTATGCCTGACATCATGTCTGACATGTCAGAATATGACTTTGGCATTGACAATGTCCCAGTGACCTCTGTCATGTAAGTATTTCATCCTGTATGCATTCAACTTTCCCGCCTCACGGATATTGTTGCCCATTCATCATTGTAGTATATTGAATACAATTCAAAGAAAAGTGCAATGGTTTTATGAGTTGAAAACTGCACAAATATCTAGATGGCTAAATGTGTTCTGCTTCTTTCAATCTAGGAAGAATCAGATTCCATCTGTATCCCTGGATATCCATGAGCAAGACAGGAAGAGTATGCCTGATCTCAATGCCCATCATCTACTAGAACAGCACCTGTACAAGAGCAGAAGATATGTAAGAATTGTGCTGCTCACAACATGATTCCCCTTTGTTACATGGAGTATTGTTTCCTTATCAGTATTTGGATAAATATGTCTGCCTAGTGGAAACAATTATCCGAATCTCATTCCATCTGAATCCAATCCATTTCTCCCGTTTCTGAACAGAACCGTCCCACGTACAGTCGCAGTCACTATAAAGCCTCAGAGAATCCAGACGAAATGCAGGAGATCTTCCAGAGAACCATGAGAAGCCGTCTTGAGTCCTTCAAATCAGCTAAGATGGGTGTCAACCCTGCTAAGAAACTCTCCAAACATCCCAAGAAGGATTCGACTCATAAGGTATTAAACTTTAATGTCCTGCTGTCTGCCTTTGGTTAAAGAGTTAAATGTAGGTTTAGTTAAATGTAAATGCAGGTTTTCACAGATTTTTTGTTTTCAGGGAGAAAAAAAAACATGAAAACATGCTAAAAATACTTTAAATTGTATGTTAAATACAGAAAAACTGGGTTAAAAATGTGAGGACTTATTTTTGTTCATAATTGTATGTTTAGCCTAATGGAAAGCCAGCGGACCCAAACAGAACCTATCCATATGGAGATGAAGGTATATTTCTATATTTGATGCATAGCTATCACTTATACATCACTATTTAGTTTTAGCATTTAGCTTACTTTATTCTGAGGGTATGATTTAGTATTAATATATTGATGGAAATGATTTTGTTTTGTCAGATTTTGAGTTTTCTGCAGACAGCGCCTCTAGCAGTGAGATTGGTCATTTCCCCAGGAGAATCACAAACGCACCTGGAGGTAAGAATAATTTTGTGTAGCTACATACTGAATTTACGTGACGTATAAATGTCATAGTGTGGTGGCACGGTGGCTCAGTAGGTTAGGTGGATTGGATATGTCACATTGGCCGTAGGAGTGTGTGTGAGTGTGTCCCATGGTGTAAAACCTGTGCCAAATCCAATGTGTGTGTCTGTGGATCATTCTGATGATGCGGACCCTGCAAAATGAGCGGGACTAATATAACTAATGTAGATATATATATATATATATATATATATATATATTAAAATATAATCTTACATAAAGTTTGCAAGTGTAGAAACTATTTTTTTAGAGGGTTGTTTCCATGGTGTCTCATTTCAACATCATAATTATTCTAATGACTGCAGCTGGTGTAGATAATCCAGCATTCATACCCGAGATGGACACCTCTGCACCCATGCGAAACCCACCCTGGCAAACAGAGACCGGGAACAACACGGCTGTGGCGCCTTCCCAGAGAGGTCCGGGACGACTGCCCTGGGCGCCCACCAACCTGAGACCGCTGAGAAGAAGTACCCGCTCCACAGACTCCATCGCGATGGCTAATGCTTCAGTTGGTGAGGAGGCACCTGAGGAAAAGCCCGGAAAACATCATACTAGATTGTAATCTGATATATTTTCATTCACCATGCCAAAAAAGTGATTAGGTTAATCCTTTCATTTTAGGCTGTTATTATGTCATGAGCCCAGAGATTAGGGAATCATAGTGTTGAATCATAGCATTCCTCGTATATCTATAATGCAGCAGTAACTAAAGCAAGTGACTTGAAGTCATGCTGGTATGGCTTTGGTCTCTGAAATGTTTTACCTAGTTATATATATAATTTAAAAAATCACAAAGGGAAGGAAGAGAATAAATACGGATTTAGCTGAAAAATTGTCACTGAAGTACTTAATATGTTAGTCGTTATGGAATGTTCTTGAGGGGTTCCTTTATACAAACTCACATTTTTGTGGAAGCTATTATGGCACTTAAACCATGTATTTTACACCAATCGTATTTACACCATGCTAGCACATTTGCAAATCTTTCCTCCAATGTGAAACTCAAAATACAAAACCATTATACTCATCTATGCATGATTTGTCAGAGTGCCAAATCAGAACTGTGTAGCAATTGTCTGTCGGTTCTATGTTCAGGTACATCTTGATATTTTTTGACCTCGGACAAGTTGGTCTATATAATGTTAAATTCAACATGTTGTATATGGTTATTTATTATTATATGATTATTCTGTGGGTGCTTCTTTGTAGTATCACAATATCTGTTTCTGCATTTCTTTATCTTACAATGATTTATTTTTGAGTTTGACTCAAAGCTATTAATGTTTTATTAGTAGAATGAAGACCATTAAAATGCAAGTCATTAAAAATAATAGTTTAACAGTAACTTATTCATGTATGAATTTCATGCTTTATGAGAACTGGTGAAATCTGTAACTTGTAATCAGTTAATAGTGTCTGATAAAACTTGTATTTGCACTGTAATGTTGTTTGAGTAATACAATTTGAATTGTTACAAATGAGCAAATAAAAAAATTGCAAAGAGCACAAGAACAAAATGATTGTCATTCCCTTGGATTTATAGCTTATTTGAATGATATCAACATTATATTGACCATATATTATTAATATATTCTGTTATGATTGACAGCAGAAGAGAATTGTTGTAGCCTCAAGCGAAAATGTTTGAGTAATGGTTCAATGAACCCGTTTTGAAACGATACATAATAGTATTATTATGTGTATATTGCAGAAAGCATGTTTTGTAAATCATTACACAGAAATAAAAATGTAAAAATCACAGAGCAGGATTTGAACAAACACACAAAACACCAATAAACCCTTAAAACGAACAATTTCCCATAAACCCTCACTTATTAACACACAGCAGAACATAAAGGAACGCATAAACTAAGCAACAAAAATACTGTATTTACTCAATCTACAACAACTATAAAAGTGGAGAGTTATTGTGTCAATGACCTTTGTAGATATAAAAAAAATGTGCAATAATAATAATACTTTTTATTACATTTTCATTTTACTTTCAATAAGGTTCCAATGGGGAGTTGTGTTGTTTTGCCTGTAGCCTTTCCACTTATTTTTCAGTTCAGTAAGTAGTGCAGCTGTCATCTCAGGATCTATTAAAGCCAACACACGCATGAGCACAGGCCGTACCGATCACTTCCTTTTTTTAACGTCACATTCAGACAGGGACAAATAAAGTAACAGTTTAACTCAAAATGTGTGGAAACTTTTTTTTTTTTTTTAACTGCTGTATACTAGAACCGCAGAAGTCAGCAATATGATTTCACAATGGTTTAACATCCTTATAAATATTACCTTCATTTTGTAAATCTATATAATGGGGGAGGGGGATTTAAATGAGGTCTGTCATCATTTACTCACCTCATGTTGATGCAAACCCGTTTGACTTTCTTTCTTCTGTGGAACACAAAGTGTGTTCCACAGTGCACAAAATGTGCACTAAAAGTGCACTAAATGTGCACTAAAAGTCTTCAACATAACAATGCAGCAGTACGGGCTGTCAAAGTTGGCTGAACACTAACCAGTGTAAAACTTTTCAATGGAAGCAGAAAAAGTAATCATCAAAAACGTGACAGAGTAACAGTCCAGTGACGTAGATCTCAGCCCCCTTTCTATGTAACAAATTAAAGGCTGACTGGAGGTTTCAGCCCTACTCTTATTACGCTCTTACACTACCTAGATTGAACCACTGCTCTCACCAGGACCACAAACGCAGAGGCACAACTGATTAAAAGCACTACCAAGTCACTTAGAGAGGGATAAACTTTGAAAATGACTGCAGATTTAAAAGAAAACTAACTAAAAGGGGAAACTGCAATACTTTGTTTCTCCATGGACTTTTCATTTCAGGACAACCAAGCAGAAAGAGCACACTGGGAACCTTTACTTGGACTGGATTGTGAGATTTTGTGAAGGACAACTATAGTACACACAGTCTGGAGAGGAGAATGATACTGTAAGTGCATCTTTAACAGTCATCCATCAAAATGTCGAACTCTACTTATCTCTGCCTGAGGGCAGTTTTCCTGGTGTGTTTTGTTCACCCTTTAATCCAAGGACTAAGCGCAGATGCAAATGTGGTCCAGAGTCCTCGTCATCGACTGGAACCGAATCTCACTGGACTTCCAATAGTCACATTTGAATGGCATCATGTTCAGACCCCATACCTGGTGATAATTTGGGTATTTGTGGCTGCACTGGCTAAACTATCAGGTATGTATCTTCCCAGGTAACAGGGGACATTCTCTGAATTTTGGCCAACGTTCTGGCAAGGTTCTCTCAAAGTTATGAACAAATGTTCCTCCAGCAAAATTAATAGAATGTTTGTTCAGAGTTATCTGGTCTTTAATAATGTAACAAAAACTATATTTATATTGTTCATGCAACATTTCTTTTTCTAAAACATTTTAACTTGATGTCTTATGTTTTTTTTTTTTTTCATATTCCATAATGTCTACAAAATGATAACATGTCTTCCTTTAATGTTCACATAACCGGAAAACATTTTGAACGCTCAGACAACATTCCGAAATAACATTTTCATTACTAAAGAACGTTATTAAAAAAAAAATCTTAGAACATAATTTTTGTTAGCTGGTTTGAACTATGAAGTAAAAATTGATTGACAGTTACAAGTAAGAAATAAAATCTGTTGTGTAACATATTTGAAGACTTGCGTACAATATAATTAGAGACAGTGGTATTCCTCATGAATGAATTAAAGAGTTTGTTCTACAGTTGATGTCATACTTTAATGAGAGGTTGAATTTCGGTCCAGTTGAGTTCTGAGAAAGGAAGATGATCTCTTGATGAATTCCTTGTACTAGGAAGTATAGAAACAATACGGTGTAACTTGACAAGTCCGGCGAAAACTCAGCGATTCACATGAAATAACAGTTTACGCACATTGTTACTCCTGTAACGGGTTCATAATGTAGCATGAGGCTTGTGAATAATATGGTTAGTACTGGTATTCTTACCCTCCTTCTGTACAGTGTGGAGGGATATAAACTGTCCACAGATGAAATATGTGTTCTTTCCTTATACATGCTGTTCATGTTTGGGATTGGTTTTTCATAGTTGACTAAACGTTATTTCAGAGCATTCATTTGAAGCATATAAGACTTAAAATTTCTCATGACCAAAACATAAGATCATGAGAAATATAAACTTATCATAAAAAATTATATCTGTCATCTGTTCTCTCTCTGTATCTAGTGATTGAACTAAACCATCATGTCACCAATGTGATCCCAGAGAGTGGAATGCTCATCATCGTGGGCTTTATTTTGGGAGGAATGGTCTGGGGTGCAGACAAGGCGCAGACTTTCAAACTGCTTCCTGCCACTTTCTTCTTCTACTTGCTGCCCCAGATCATTTTGGATGCAAGTTACTTCATGCCCAACAAGCTATTTTTCAGCAACCTGGGTGCCATTCTCATTTACGCCATCTTTGGAACCTGCTGGAATGCAGCCACAGTAGGCCTGTCGCTTTGGGGCTGCTATGAGGCCGGAGCGATGGGTAAATTCAATACTGTAATTTTCTGCATTCACTGTTCTGCTAATCTTTATGTAATTTAATGCACATTGTGTGTCTTTTGCACAGATCAAACCCACATAATTCCTCTTTAAACAAAACAAGGATATACTGTAAAGCCCTTGTTGAGCCTGAAGGGCAAATATGCCCTGCATGGTCTGCAATTATCAATTCAGTAGCTTTTAGTATATATACACCATTATAGAGAATATTCAATTAATTTGACAATTTCTGTAATCATCAGGTAACTTGGACATCGGTCTCCTGCAGTTCCTGTTGTTTGGTAGTTTAATAGCGGCGGTGGACCCAGTGGCTGTGATTGCCGTTTTCGAGGAAGTGCATGTGAATGAGGTGCTCTTTATCTTGGTGTTTGGGGAGTCTCTGCTCAATGATGGCGTCACAGTGGTTAGTATTAATTTCCTAAAACGCTTTAAATGTCAGGTGTATGTTTTGTTGCATTGTGTTTGTTCCTGTCTTGACCTGGTTTCTAGTCTGTGTCAGTTTCATTCAGTTCACCTGTTGCTCGTTATTTAATTCATTTGTTCCATCGTTTAGTTCTGTTATAAATACTCCGTTTTGTTCAGTTCTTTGTCCTGTCTCATTATTGTTTCTGTAAGTGGTTGTTTTCTGAGTTTCTCCTGCCTGTTTTCTGAGTGTTTGGATTAAAAGACTATTTCCTAGAATTCTCCTTCATCATGCACTTCCAACAGCCACCTGTGACAGAAGTTTCTTTTTTAACTTTCCCTCATCCTCATTTACCTACCAGCAGTGCCTTGAGCAGAAAGACCGCTAACTGGAGGACCACACCCGGGACTTTTTAGATCTTGCGAGCCCACTACCCGGACCGCTCGCTTTGTGCTTTTTACCACACAAGCCTCAGCGGTCCAAGGCACGCCTTCCAGTGAGCGGACCCAGGGAAGATTTTTCCGTGTTTGTGGAGTGGGTGCTGGTCAATAACTGATCAGCTTTCACCATCGTCCCCGAGGAGCCCACCAGCCCCACTCCACCTGACCCAGAGCCCAGTCAGCCATCACCCAAACAGACGGAGCTGAAGCTGAACTCCACCGCAGACACGGAGCCAGCGTCTGCCACAGAGAACTTGCCAGGAAACAAAGCTGAGCCATATACCGCCCCGGAGCCTCAGCCCAACAATGCGTCTGACCAGGTACGCGAGTAGGCAACAACACCCATCCCCGAGGGAGTTCTGGTGGAATTCGAGGACATGGATGGAAGCCCCGCCCACACTCCCATTGTGGTGAATGTGCTAAGCCTGGCCTCTGGGAATTTAATGTAGGATTTTGGGGAGGTAATTTCCCTGTTTCTCTCGTCCCCTTTGATCCTGCCCAGCCCAGAGTTTCCTGCGTCTCCCAAATTTCCTGTTTCTCCTAAATTTATTGTATCCCTCGAGTTTCTTGTGTCTCCCAAGTTTCCTGTGTCTCCCGAGTTTCCTGAATGCCCACCCAGCCTCGATCGCCCATCTCGCCCCACTCCTATACCAGAGTCAGCCAAGTCCCCAGCTTCGCCTTGGCAAGGGGATCCCCTGTCTCCGCCTCCAGCCACAGAGCCCTGGACTTCACCTTGGTCCTCCAACCCATCGGCTCCACTTTGGCTCAATGCTTCCTCAGCTCCACCATGGCCCGCCATCCCACCAGCTCCACCAGGCTCCCTTGTCCACCCGTCTCTGCCTAGGTCAAACGTCACCCTGGTTCCACCACAGGATTCCAGGCTGCCGGTTGCACCTCTTCCCTCCATCCCTTCGGCTCCACCGGCCTCCGTCTTCCCTATGGCTCCAACGTTGTCCTCGGTCCCAGGCGTCTTCCGGGTTTCCGCGGTCTGATGAACCGTAAGCTCCACCTTGGACCTCCGGACCTGCAGTGTCACCCTGGCTCTGTGTCTCCTCGGCTCCGTTGGGGTCTCCACCTTGGCCGGCTTTATCGCAGGAGATCGTACCCTCCATCGCCCAAGTCCCCACCATGGCTCCTCCCTCTTGCAACTCTGCCCTGGAACATCACGCTGGCTGTGGCCTGGGTCATCATCTGACCCCTTCTGCTTCTGGATCCTCCCTCCATCCACTCCCCCATAGACTCCCTCCATCCACTCCCCTTCCCTCCTCAGTTTGACCTTGTACGACGCGAGGACGCGGCTTTCCAAAGGGCATACTGTCAGGAGTATGTTTTGTTGCATTGTGTTTGTTCCTGTTTTAGTAGGATGTTCGTCTATTGTAAAATGTTATTACTTTGTTTCAAAACGTTCAGAGAACATTAGTAACATTCCCATAAGGTTAAAAAAAAAATTATAAAGTGGAATATTTCCTTAACGAGCGAATAACCAAAAAAAGAAAAAAAGAAAAAAAAACATTTTTAAAACATTTTAAAAACTGGATGTTTTGAACATTCAGAAAACATTTAGAAACAGCGATGTAATAATTTTAGGGAACATTAGCAAAACATTTTCATGTCATGTTTTTTTGGTCTTTCTTTCGTAGGTGCTTTACAATGTATTTGATGCTTTTGTTGCCCTTGGAGGACCAAGGATTGACACCACAGAGATTTTTAAGGGCATATGTATGAACACTCAGCTCCACTCCCCATACATATTTATGAAAACACAATAATATCCTTTCATTTAACTTGAAACTTATTACTGTTCATTTTTATGCTCCTACAGTTTCATTTGTTGTGGTGGCATTTGGAGGCTCGTTTCTTGGCGTTGTGTTTGCCATCCTGCTGTCCCTGCTGACCAGATGCACCAAACACATTCAGATCATCGAAGCCGGCTTTGTCTTTGTGGTGGGATACCTGGCTTACCTGACAGCAGATATGCTCTCTCTCTCTTCTATACTTTCGTAAGAGTCTCTTGAACAATGTAACACATACAGAGAATTTGGGAATATACAGTAAACATCAGTACTGCAGGAATTCAGGTTCAATGCATAATGTTTCAAGCAATTAATTTAGCGCATGAAAAAGATTGGCTTTCTGTGTCACAGGATCACTTTCTGTGGTGTCTGCTGTCAAAAATATGTGAACGCCAACATGGACGAGAAATCAGTCACAACGGTTCGTCATGCCATGAAGGTGCTTGCGAATGGCTCAGAAACCATGATATTTCTATTCTTGGGCATTACAGCCATTGATACGGAGATATGGGTTTGGAACACAGGTTTCATTCTCCTCACTCTCCTCTTCATGTTTATCTACAGGATCATAGGTGAGTTTTTTTATTTATTAATTAAGCTTGAGATAGAACAAAGAATGATGGAACAATTAAAATACAGACAATAATATTAAAAACCCCGTTCCAAAATAGGCAAGGCATCCTTCCTGTTCAGATTTATAGATTTGTTCTATATTTTCAGGTGTTTTCTTGTTTACCTGGTTGTTAAACAAGTTCAGATTGGTTCCCATCGAGGTCATTGACCAGGTTGTAATGAGCTACGGTGGCCTGCGGGGGGCAGTAGCGTACGGATTAGCAGCAATGCTAGACAAAGACAAGATCCCAGAGAAGAATCTGATGATTAGTACCACACTCATTGTGGTGTATTTCACTGTCATTATTCAGGTTAAAAAGACACCCATCACTCTTATAATAATTATGAGACTCCAAATGGTTAGATATATATTTTTTTACTGTCCTGTAGTTAAATAATGTGTGTTGCTTGTTTTTAGGGAATCACAATGAAGCCATTGGTTCAGTGGCTCAAGGTCAAAAGAGCAGCTCATTCGGACTTGAAACTTGTTGAGAAACTGAACAATAGGGTAACTATAACTGGCAATTATAATAATTATGTATATATATAATAATTTTAATTCAAAAAAATATATTTATTAATTTGTTTAAATATGATTTAAACACGTTATTTTTCTTTAAATATGATTAATTTGTTTAAATATGATACATTTAGTTAAATATTTAATTATATATTAATATTTACATGTATTGATTTTTAAATGTGTATGTATATATATTATATCATATTTGATGATAAACTAATAAATTATATATATATATCATGTATTAGTTTGTTTAAATATGATTTAAATATTAAAATTTTGTTTGTTTATTTATTTATTTAAAACTATGTATGTATGTATGTATGTATGTATTTTTATTTATTTATATATATTTTTTTATTTCATGTGTTCATTTTACAAACTAATTGTTCATTTTACAAACTAATTGTTTTAGAATTATTTTTTTTTTTTAATTACCGGTAGTCATGTTTTATGGTTTCTTTGTAGGCATTTGACCACATACTGGCAGCAGTGGAGGACATTTGTGGTCGTATTGGAGATAACTGGTGGACCAGAGGGTATGCTTTCCTCCCTTCTGTGAATAACCTCAAATATTTATATGAATTAAATGTGTTAAATTAAATGTGTTGACACTCGCTCTCAGTTGGAACAGGTTTGAGGAGAAGTATATCTGCAGGATATTGATGAAACCTAAGGCCAGAAAAAACAAAGACTACCTCTTTAATATCTTCCACAAACTCAATCTGGAGGACGCTATGAACTACGTCAGTGAGGTGAGGTCATAGACTGGCTTCATATGTCACATAATATTGCCTTTTTTAAATTGTAATTATGCAATAATTTCATATACAAGCATAGATTGCATTGCAATACACCTTTGCTTCAGTATCAACAATAAAGAAGATCATGAAAAATGTATGTCACCTCTTTCTTTCTTCATGTAGGGTGAACGCCAAGGTTCTCTGGCCTTCATTCGTAGTGATGAAGCAGCCAACATAGATTTCAAAAAACAATATGGTTCAGAATTTGCAGATGTGATGCCTGATATAATGGTTGATATGTCAAATTACGAGTTTGGAATCGAAAATGTGTCAGTAACCTCCATTGTGTAAGTGGACTGACTATGTTGAAAACACATTTAAACAATTGCTTAATCAAAGTTGATCATAAAACAATTATGACTAATGAAGGAGAGGAATAATCAGATCTAGCTACATGTGGGACTGAATCTTTGCCAGGGTTGCAATGCACAAAGAGCTGAAATTTGACAATTAAATTCCCTAGATGGCGAGACGTGACAATAATAAAGATTGTTTTGCCTCTTGTTGATTAGAAAAGACACTATTCCCTCAATATCCCGGGATATCCATGGGCAAGACAGGAAAAATGCGGTGGATGACATCAATGCCCATCATCTTCTACAGCAGCACCTGTACAGGAGCAGAAAGCATGTATGAATCGCTCTTCACCAACACGCATACACACACACACACATGCATATAGTTTGCATCTCATTTGGCCTATCTGTTCCTCTTTCTGAGCAGCACCGTCACAAATACAGCCGCAGTCACTTCGGCATCAACCAGAGTGAAGACGAGGTGCAGGAGATCTTTCAGAGGACCATGAGGAGCCGCCTCGAGTCCTTCAAATCTGCTAAGATGGGTGTCAACCCTGCTAAAAAGATCACTAAGCACCACAAGAAGGAGCTACATCAGGTATTAGACCTCCATTACATCTCTTTCAACCAAATCAGTCAATTATAGGATTGCACCTCAAACTTTATACATATTTTCAGATGTCTAATGGACACCCAGAGGGCAAGGACCATCTATATGGAGATGAAGGTAACAATATTTTATTTATAAGCATCATTTATTAAGACTTATGACACTGAGAAACTGGCTACAATTAATTGTATTTACATATTTTTAAATATATAAATTATACTTAAACAAATAATTATAATTTAAAATATTAATATACATAAATATATTTAAATAATATTTAAACAAACAATAAATCAATTGTAACAATGTATAATATATAAAGATATTTCATTTAAATAATTATATATTAATATACACAAATGTATATATATTAGTATATAAATAAATATATACATATTGAACATATTTAAATTGCAAATATATTGCAATATATATAATTTAAAAAAAATATGTATGTACTTATTTTCAAATAGATGCGCTGGAATATAGTAACATAAACTGACTAAATAAACAAATATATATATTTTTTTTTAAATAAAAAATCTTAATCTTACAAAATACAAAACATAAACATCCTCAACATGGGATTCACTCAAGTAAAAGGTATTCTATATAAGCAATGGCATTTTCCACTATTTATTTGATTATTTATACTTATTTATTAAGTTTTTCTTCTCTATTTTTTTATTTATATATTTAGTTAAAAGCATATTTTTTGTCTTTTTAGTTGACAGTGCTGTGGGTAGTGAGACTGCTGCTGTGAATAGTACTTTTATGAGAGACACATATACATTTGGAGGTATGAAAAGGGTCTGAACAGATGCTGCTTTGTACATAAAGAGCAATAACTCTAATAAACACATTTGCATAAAAAGTTAAAGGTTTGTTTATGTTTCCTCCATATCTCATAAAAGCTGGCATAGAGAATCCAGCATTCATGCCAGATATGGACAGTCCTACTCACAGCCCACCCTGGCTAATGGAGACTGAGATGGACATGGCTGTCGCACCCTCCCAGAGGGCCCAGAGACGCCTGCCCTGGACGCCCAACAGACTGCGGCGTTTAGCACCCATGAGGATCAGCACCTGCTCCACAGACTCCTTCCTGATGGCTGATGTTTCTTTAACTCTAGAAGAGCACGAGGAACCGCCCCAAGGAGACAATGAGGAAATGTGAGTACACATTCACCTGTTTACCAACACTTATCTAAAAAAAATACAGGTGTATTGTTACTGACCATGTTTATTTCTGACTACAGACGACCAGTCTTTGACTAGATACTACAGCACAATTAGGTGGCATGTCACAAAGCACATCCACAGACTTGACTGTTCCTGTACCATCTACAGTAAGGGTGTCTAATTCTGCTCATGGAGGGCCACTGTCCCTCAGAGTTCAGATCCAAATCTAATTAAACACACCTGACCCAGTTAGGCATACTAGAAACTTCCAGACAGGCGTGTTGAGCAACTTGGAGCTGAACTCTGCGGGACAGTTTGGACACCCCTGGTCTACAGATAACAGTCCAATCTAAACGAGGTGGAACAGGAGAATTGCTGCAGGAAATCCCACCGAAACTGCCATACGCCAACGAAATTGCATTGGAAATGGAAAACATGGATTTTTCCAGCATTTTTGTAGAATTCATTTATAATCCATTTAGGGCAATATACTCATGTTGAGTGCATTAAATAGTAGAAAAAAGAACAGCTTTTCAAGTTTCCTACCTGTGTTGACATATTTCCCATTGAAAAAGGAAGTCTGGGTTTAAAGGGGGTCCTATTATGCTTTTCTTTCTTTAGTGTGTAATGTTGCTGTTTAAGCATGAAAAAGGCCTGCAAAGTAACAAAATACAAAGTTCACTCCAAAGGGAGTTATTCTCTGTATCAGTAAGCACAGTTTCTGAACTCCTTGAAATGCCTCGATTGTAGCCTTGAGTTTTATTCCGGAAACGGACACGTCACAATATCCCTAATTTAAATAATACCCGCCAAAATCATATGCAAAAAAGGGGGGCAAGGCCTAGTTGCGTTGCGTTGTTGAAACTTGCGGTTATGGTTAGCGGCATGACATTTCAGAAACTCACTGGAAGTGGTTGACCAATCGCAAAACACTGGTCCAGCCGACCAATCAGAGCACATGCTTTTCGTAAGGATGGGCTTAATTGAGACAGGAGCTAAGAGCGCTGCTGCAACAGTGAAATATGTATTAAAAATAATAATTTAACATTTAAGTATGAAAACCTTCTAGTAGACTCCAAATACAAAATCAAGACTTTGAAACAGGGTATAATAGGTCCCCTTTAAAATAGCCAAAAACCTTCAGTTTACATCATAGCCATGAACATTATTTGCTTGTTACTTAGTCAGTTTTTAAATGCATACTGTATTTCGCTGTAAGGGTATTCTTGTTAACCTTTGCTGTACTACACTAGCCTATAGATGGTCTTAAAGCAAATAAAAACTCCAATTTTGATTTCTTTAGAAAATGGTGTGTGGGGGAAAGGTTGAGAAGACAGGGATGTATTTTGTGCAATAATGCTGATAGTGAGGGCAAAGCCATTTTGTCTTTCTCAAGATCCACCTTGTGGTTTAATTTTTAATGGCACTTTACTACAGTGACGTCATCTCTACAAGGCACATTCTTCCCTGCACCGGAATATGAACGTATATGAATATGGATGGTTTTAAGTAAATAATTATACAAAGCGAGTTTTTCATTCCTCTGGAAACTTGTAGAAATCAGTGGTGATGTTAGTATTTTAGTCTGTATGTGAGTGAATTAAGGTGTAAATTGTTATGTTTGTGCATGGAAAAGGTCATATTTTAAATCAGTTGGTTTTATCTTGTCATTTAAATAATGTATTTCTCTGGGCATTTTACTTTTGTGGGATTAATAAAGAAGTTATCAACATTTCTATGCATCTAATGAATCATACTATACGTTAGCCATTCTTGCTTCACTCATCTTCATCTGTTCGATTACTATGATAGTTTTATTTACATCTATGAAAGAAAGTTACACTGAAAACAATCACACTTCAGCTATTGTTGCTTTACTATTATTTATATATTATTATAGCATTTATAAAAAAATTAACTGAGCTTTTTCAATTTTTAGTTTTCAAATAAATATATTATTCGTTTTAGAATTTGTTATGTGCTTTAATCTTTTTTTTTAAATGTATATTTAGCTTTATTTCTATTCAGATTTAGTAATTGTAGTACTTCAACTTAATTTTCATTTTTTTTTTAAGTTTACGTTTTTCATCTAATATCTATATTTTCTTTTCTTTCAGCCTTAATTCAATTATAGAAAATAATTTAAGTTAATAACAACACTGAGATACACACTCCTTTCTTGCACAGTAAACAGAAATGCATGTACATTCAATATTTATTCATATATATAATTTTTTGTCCAAGACAAACCATTCAAAAGACATCCATCAAAGTTTGCATACATACATTTTAATTGAAATATTGACAATTAAATAGAACAACCAAATAAAAAGACCCAAGGAAAGACCACAATTTGAAGGGTTGAGATCAAACAAAAGAGACAAATATATATTTTAAAACTGGACAGTTCTGTTATCAATCATTAATATTTCATCACACTATAACTAAACCATTACATCAGAGCGTTGAATGTGTGTTGAATCACAATGGAGAGAGTGATAAATAGTAAATAGTATTTATTTATAATACAATGCAAGATTCTTCTCATCTTAAAGAAGCTTGCATAGCATGATAAATCTGGACGCTGACACTCCTGCTCATCTTTAATGTGCTGTATTTAATCACAGACATAAATATCATTTTATAATCACCAACATCAACCTGATTAAACATGTTAGTAAATGTAACCGTTGGATTCATGAAGTTCATTTATGAAAAGGTGTCTAAAATTGGAATTCAGGCCAAATATTAGTGAAATTACCAATTACGTTATTGCTATTTCATCATGTATAGAGAACACAGATTTGACACTGGTTGTTCAAAATGGATTGGAGACAAAAAATAAAGGGAAAACATCACTTGGAATACGTTCCCAGGCTTCATACAGTATAGCTTGATCTGTTAGTTTTGCAGTGCCAAATCTTTATAAAAAGTGTAGAAATTTTGGTCCAGAGACCTTGTAACTGGCAAGCTCTGTGATTTGATGTGTTCTTGGCGAATAAAGAGGCACAATCACACCCACACATACAGTTTTAACACTCTTAAACACACATTATACAGCATATCATATCAATATAACTTCAATATAGGCTTGTTGGGCCCTTAAAAAGGGATTTTTTTTTTCTGTCTGAAAACAGCACCATCAGAAAAGGCACATTCCACTAACTCATCTGCCCAAAGGATGAATCTTCACCTCAACAAAGTCAGGAAAATAAAGTCAAGAAGCAAATACTCTAGGCTTGAAGAAAACAGTATATCACTCATCTATTCAGACACCAATAATATGACGAGATCAAGAGGACTAGTAGCCTACAGGCTATTTTCAAATGTGCTTGTGTGTGAATTGCCATGCTTTTAAATCAACTGAATAGAAATATTTGAGGCGGTACCTTCATGTTTAAGTCAATACAAGTAATGGAGCATAAGAATAAAAAGAGGACTGAAGGTTCATCCCTTTGTGAACAACATCATTTCTGTCATAAATACCGTAGGACGATGCAGAGACACTCACAAACGACTTTCGAAAAAAATATGAGACGAACCTAATAGTCTATTGCATATTAGCCATTTTTTATATTAGTCACTATCATGATTAACATCACTATTTTCATCTTTTGCTAAATATTTCATAGACTTTGTTAGCAAAAATAATTGATGTGCATTATACAGTTACGTTATTTAAAAATATACAAATACACTTCTCTGAATTAAAAATGCTTCAAGGTATCCGCAGTCCAGCTTTAAGCCAAGGGGTGGAGAGTGTCGTGTCACAGTTGTAGTGCGAGGGGCAGTTTAAGCCAAACCCACTAACTAGAATAGCACCACCCCTATGCAATGCCCCACCTACTTTTTTTTTTTTTTGCAATTTATTCCGTGGCAACTTCAAAAGGCTGTATAAGCTGCCATCTAAAGCCAAACATTCATATGGGTGCAGGTTCTACTGATCACTCCCCTTTTTCAAGTAAGTTCAAATGCTGGTAGCGGCAGAGAAGTAACAGTTCTCAGCACATTGAAACAAAAGAAAAAGAGCACCGAAGCAAATTGACATAAGAGCAAGTTTTTTTTTGTTTTGTTTTTTGAACAGACCTAAATTCCAGTTAACTCGCTAAAACAGACATTTTTGTAAGTACAAGTATGTGGGTCTGGTAATTTGCCAAAATGAAGTATTTTTGTTTAGAAAAATGAGTGAGCTAACCGAATATCACACTCTGAAAAAAATACCAAACAAGGCTCTAAAGTCCTGGTGAAACACTCCATGACAAGTATTCACAAGAAAATGTGGAGCAGATAGAGATTAGTGTGGTTAACATCCCCCGAATTACAGCACCACACCTCTTAGCACCTCGGGCATTTCGCCAAATCTGAGACTGTACAGATTTTTAAGTGCAGCAATATATTTGTCAGTCATTTCTCAGAATCTCTCTTGCTCTCTCTACACATATAAAAGCAGATGTAATTTGTTATCATGTAAAATAGCAGCTACACTGGTCAAGACGTATTTGTGGCTATAGGGCAAAAAGACTACAGTGCCATTCACATTAAGGGCGATGTGAAAGTGTGCCAGAGGCCACAGAGTTATAACCCTCCACCTACCCTGCTACAATCCAAATGCCTTTACTCAATACTCCCTGCCACCCCTGTTTTCAGAGGCACATTGGTTTGGTCTGTGTGGAATGCAAGTTGAATACACAGGGACTATGAAAAAGCAGGGACTTTGAAGAAAAGAGATCCAAATAAAGAGAGTTTTAAAGTTCAAACGAAAGTTTAAAAAGTGTGTTTGAAAATTCAGAACAAATGTTTGAAAATTCAAATGTTCAAAAGAAAGTTCAAAAAGCTTTTGAAAGTTCAAAAAGCTTTTGAAAGTTCAAACAAATGTTTGAAAGTTTGAAAATTCAAAAGACAGTTTGAAAGTTTGAAAGAAAGAAAATGACCCGGGACTTTTAGTCAGTTCAACTATTCAAATTGCCCTTAACAACAAAATGACCTTAATAACAACAGTTTCAATAGCTAAATATCTGTCCAACCGTATGTACACGCCACTTACTTTAAATATAGATTTAATTAAAACGTACCCCAATAGAATTGCATTTTAGGGATATTTCCTATAAAACAGGCACTTTGTCTCATTTGACTTTTAACATGAAAGGTCTGTCCAAGATCTTAATAGCAAACTGAGCCTTTTCCATTCAACATATCCATGAGAGTAACCATCTCCGCTGCAAACTCAACCCAGCATTCCAGCCATAAAACACAACATTCATTTCAATAAAACCTGCTGAATCCGTTCGAATGGCGTCCGAGTTCACTTACACAATGCCACATACAACAAAACATTTTTAAAATGAAAGCATTCACTCATAAGGTACTGTTTGCATTGTATATGAAAGTCTACGACAGAGCCGTCAATAATTGGCTTATTGCACTAAAAGGCTTATGGGACAGTTTTTGTCAAAGTTCACAGGGCTAAAATGCTAAATTAAGAAACTGATAAGTTAAATAGATAATTTACAGATGCACTATTGACAATGCAAGTTAAAAGCAACATTATAAATAAGCTCAAAGAACAAATGAGAATGAATGAAATGTCCAACAGCTGTAAAGTGAATAATAAAGGATAACAGGACTCTGAGTTGCCTTGGGTGGAATTATATGTGCACACACATCCATCGAGTGTGTTACAGTCACGCTCTGACTGATTCGAACACTTGCGTTGTAAGCGCGCACAAACCGAACGAGGCACAAAGCGTTCAACGCACATACAATAACATAGGGTTAACTACGTGGAAACTTTTTTTTACCGACCCTTGAGTTTCAAAGTTCAAAGTTCCTCTTTTGGTGATTCTGCAGCCCTTAGCTAATCTGTCACCTCTGCTTAATGAGCGAGCCGAGAGGAAAGACGACAGGAACCGCAAGGAGCGAAATTTTCCAGGCAGTGCATGGACCAGAAAGTTAATGTATCACAGAAGGTATAAAGAATCATTTGAAAGACTGTGGAATTGGAAGAAAAGTGGTGTCTCCAATGTTCAAAAAGCGGAATAAGACATGGACACATGGTAAATGAGATGTAAAGGGACAAATGTGGATCTCCGACTGGTTGGAACAAAATGGAATGACATTTCAGTTGTCTTTTTTGCAAGATTATAGAGTAGATTTTTTTTCTGGAAAAACGTGATTTACTAGTAAGAGTAACTAGTGAAATATCAAGACTGGTCACAGATTAGCGCAATAAATGTCCAGAGGAACAGTGGAGGACCTACAGCAAGATGCCATTGCAAACTATTAGCAAAACCTTACACTGCCCTCTAGTGGCATTCCACCAAAATCCTTCACCAAACCTAATAGAATACTAATCCTAAACCGAAAGGTGTTCCAAAGATTAGTTTCAACTCTGTTCGAACACTCCTTTTCAGCTGAACCTGAAGACATTGATGTCCAGCTTCATGTGTGTTTGATTAGCTGTGAAACTAAACTCTGTAGGAGAAATCGGCATGAGCAGGGCAAATCCCTCCTGTCCTAAAGAAATAACACTGCCTCATTCGCTGATCTAGCACGATTTGATCGAGCCGACCTTTAAGCTTGGTTTTGTGACCTAAGCAGGCAAAATTAAAAGTTAAACAGATCTACAAATCTAATAAATAATGGTATAGCTGCAATCTACATATTAAAAACAATCAGTAAGCGAAGGCAATTGGAAAGATTGGCTGTTTTTCTATTGCATTCCTCCTGTAAGTTCGGTTACATTTGGTTCTCTTTAGCAGCCTGTGATTGGGAGAAGCCTTCCTCCTCTAAGTGCAGGTCTGTGGAGGCGGGGCTAAGCAAAGTACATGGTCCTCAGAGTGTCGTGATGGATCTGCACAGCTTTGGCCAGGGCCTGAGGATCTCGGCCATTGCTCTGACCCGACACATGGCTGCCTTCCGCGCTGTGAAAGAGGAGAAAGCAATGAACAGACGCCTACATTTACACTATGAAATCATACATTTTCCCTGACATACCAAGGAGATGAAACTTTATACGGTATGTACACTACTGTGCAAAAGTTTGTGGTCAGTAAGTTTTTTTTTGTTTTGAAAGAAATTAATACTTTAATTCAGCAAAGATTAATTCAATTGATCAACAGGAAGACATTTATAACGTTACAAAAGATTTGTATTTCAAATAAAACTTAAAAAAAACTAAAAAACTTTTGTAACTTTATTCTTGAGCACCAAATCAGCATTAGAATGGTTTCTGAAGGATCATGTGACACCGAAGACTGAAGAAATAATGCTGAAAATTCAGCTTTGCCATCACATGAATAAATTTAATTTTAAAATATATTACAATAGTAGGGGTGTAACGGTTCACAAAATTCACGGTTCGGTTCGATACGATACACTTGTGTCACGGTTCGGTTCGGTACGTTTCCGATACAGCAAAAAGAAAGAAATGCCAGAGAAATTTCCTTGATTTAATTTTTTTAATTATATTTTTAAACTAACATCATAACATTTTTTTACTTTGAGCAATGATGGAGCTATCCTTGACTTTTCTTAGGAGCATATAAAACAAAAACAGCTCCTTGGACAAAATGAAATGTAATATTGTAGTAGTTATAAACACAGGTTTATTTTAGTTCAGATTAACATTTGAGGGCAGCAATTGTATTCGTAAAGTCAAAATAAAACTGACGTAATGTTACTTGAAAGCATTATAGGCTACTATTTCTGCCAAACTCCCATGGTTACAGTTAGTGTTACTACAGTAAACCCATGGTGAATGTTGCTGATCTGTGGACACTGGATAGTTCATTCATGGCACAATGTTTGTTCCTGGTTTCCACGTCAGCGCTGTTTGATCCGTTAATAACGGAGAAATGTGAATGTTCTTACTAGATCTCGCAGCGATGTTATTACTTCAGTGGCGAACTCAAATGTTTTCTTTACTGGATCTCTTAGCGCTGTGTAGTAACAGTGCTGATGATGAAGATCGGCTCGCGCTGCTTTGGTCCAGACTGATAAACGGTCCGTCAACCACACAATAACGAGTAGCTCAGCTTCGTTCCGCTTGCATTATGTTTGCCATTTGATGTTGGGCAATGTTGTGGTCACGCCGGCGTCTCTTACATTATGAGCGCGCTTGCGACGCGTGACGCGCCTACATTTGAAATAACGAAATTTTGGTCGGCAGGAAAAATGGTCCAACGAACCGTTCGGTTTAAAAATGCGTACCGAAAACCGAACCGAAAGCCTCGTACCGAACGGTTCAATACGAATACGTGTATCGTTACACCCCTATTCAACAGAAAACAGCTATTTCAAATTGTAATAATATTTCACAAAATTTCAGTTTTTGCTTGATTTCTAATTAAATAAATGCAGGCTTGGTGAGCATAAGAGATTTCTTTCAAAAACGTTTTTTTTTTGTTTTTTTTTTAAATCTTACAAATCACAAACTTTTTAACACATTATAGACAGTAGTAGAGTGCAAACAATAATACATAAAAAATACAAAAAGTGTTAGTGAAACATACACAAATATAAAGAAGAGAAAAAGGAAAAACCTCTTGATTTTAGCGCTCAAGAGTTGTGAAAATGTTCCAATGTTCTGGTGTCCAAATAAAAGACTTTTATATGGTATTGCTGCATAAAAAAAACGGTGACTGTATGAATCTGACTCTGTCTTTTAGGTGGTTAGCTTGAATAACTCAACTTCCTGAATTCAAATCAAGACTTTGAATCATTGAAATGATGGATATTTTGGCTCACTTTAACAAAGGAGCGCCTATGGCAACCAAGAATATGCAAAGCCTATTCAAATCAGAGTGATTGACAGCTTCTAAAAGCCTGTCATTTAAACAAATAGAATTTCTACTTCTATGTACCTAGACATCATCAACTAGTCCAGTAAATCCCTCACCTGTCATGCTCTTTATCCACTAAATGGTAACGGGCTCTAAAGGCCACCAGGTGGGCATAGTAGGCTGGTGCAGGGATGGAGACGGAGCGGGTACAGCGCACGTATGTGTGGCACAGCTGGTAGGTCAAGAGCTGGAACTCATCGGCTGTAAAGCAGTTATCGTCCCATAGCACGTGGTAGTGTGAAGGTCGGCTTGTACCCTGGGTAAATGGGGTTAAATAATAATTTTGATGAGATGCAATATACTCAATTCTTCCAATATATGCAATTCTGAATGCAATTAATCACTCGATATATCAGGCAATAATGCCGTAAAAAAGGCCTAAAAATGCACTAATTCTGTTGTCCTCATGGCTGTGTGTGTTCATACCTGTATTCCAGCATGACTGCACAGATAAAAGTCAAATTCATAAGGATGGGTGATATCAGTGTCCACTGTGGTACCTGCTGGAATGTTACCACTGCGGCCCACCTTTGAAAATAAATAAACGAAAATTACGAAAAAGTGAGTGCAAAAGTGACAACGTTTTCAAGAGAACTCTCTCATACTCACCCTCTCAGTACGGTCAGCGCAGAAGAGACGAGTGTGGTGACGTTTCTGGACGACGATGTAGGTGATTCCCGGTTGATAGTCCTTCTCAAGGCTGATACAAGCTTCACGTATGGCCAGCAACTCATAGTACAGCACCTAGAAGGAAAGACAGTTCAGACGACGACTGAAAATATTCGAAGACGATTCAGCATGTTAAATCGGCATCGGGGCTGTCGGTGAGAGTGTGAACTCTGATTGGATGTCCAGTTTAGTGAACGAGTCAGTGCTCGAGAATTAAAGCGAAAGTGATGAAAGAGAGCAAGGAAGTCAAGACGGCACAGGCAGAAGGCTGGTCTAATGTTATGTTATCCTACCCGAGCATTCCAAAAAGCGACTAGCAGGTGCTGCTTTTTTATGTTTCATAATCTGCGTATATCTCGTATATCCTGGTTTCGGTTCCTATTTTTGAGTGACTAAAATAGACTATTGATACCTGCTGACATAGACAGTTAATTCCTTACACGCAGGCCGCAGAATGCACATCCTAGTTTGCAGTCGGCTGTAGTGCTGTGTGTTCATGTGCATCTTTTTGGCCCTGACGCAGCCGACGAGAGGCGACAGCCCATGATTCACTCACCCTCAAGCCATGCTAGGTGTATATGACTTTCCCTCTTTCAGACGAATACAATCAGAGTTATATAAAAAATATTCCTAACTCTTCCATGCTTGATAATGGCAGTGAATTGCAACCAACAGTTCATGCTCAAGAAAGTGCATTCATCCGTCATAAACGAACTCCACACGTCTCCGGGTGGTTAATAAAGGTCTTCTGGAGCAAAGTGATGAGTTTGTGTAAGAAAAATATTAATATTTAACGTTACAAAGTAAAATTCTAGCTTCCGACCAAACGGCCATACGCAGTCTACTTGCGCCTAAAGCGCAACTTGTGACATCGGAAGTAGCGTAGTGCGTCAATCCGAATGTTCGTTTGCCGGAAGCTAGTTCCTAAGCTAATTTTACTTTATAAAGTTTTAAATATGGATATTTTTCATACAAAAACTCATCGCTTTGCTTCAGAAGGCCTTTATTAACCACCCGGAGCCGTGTGGAGTTCGTTTATGTCGGATGAATGCACTTTATTGAGCTTGAACTGTTGGTTGCAATTCACTGCCATTATAAAGCTTGGAAGAGCCAGGATATTTTTTTTTTTATATAACTCCGATTGTATTTGTCTAAAAGAAGAAAGTCATATACACCTAGGATGGCTTGAGGGTGAGTAAATCATGGGCTAGTTTTCATTTTAAAGTGAACTACTCCTTTAAGACCTGAATAAATGAAAATGAATACTGTTCATAAGACAGAGAGTGTGTAACTGGAGAGCCTCACTTGTCTGAACTGTCCCTCAGACACACCATCCCTGTAGAAGATGATTCTGGTGGGTTTGTAGTGAGTGGACTTGTAGAACTGGATGAGCAGCTCTCGCACCATAGACGCCAGGTCCTGAATCACTTCCTGTCTGGGCCTCTGGACACGGACTGTAGCACAGTACCTGCTGGGGTGAGCGTCCATGCTACCCACCACCTGTTCAGCAACAAATTTGAAGTGAGGAGAGGGAGAAAAATAGCAGTATTTCTTTAGTCACCATGAAATAAAAAATGCCAACTCGTATTTGTATTGCAGTGTTTATTATAAATGATTTATCCGTGCACATTATTTTTTCATTTATTTATGTGCCCCCGTAATCTTTAATCAAAATAATTTCCCTCCCTTTTGCAATCATCTCTCTTCTCTTCTCTAATGACAGGACAACCTGTCATTCACATGAGATTACAGCCATAGCAAACCACAAAGATCCAATCAATTCCCGATGGACAAAATCAAGTCCCGCTCTACATTTGTTCTTGTCCGAGAAGCCATTTCACTCTTCACTCATCACAACTTTCGTACTTTGATTACCGACTTAAAAATATCCACATCTGTTCGACAATTTTCAGGTCCCTTATTATTATAAGATTTGAGATGTGTATGATGTAGTGCTGTCAAACGATAAAAAAAAAAAAAACTAATTAATCGCACATTTTTCTGTAATTAATCACGATTAATCGCACCCAACATTCAAGTTGTTAATATATTTTTATATTGTACTAATTAATTTCACATTTAAACTCTAAATCAATGTAGAAAGAAACAACAAAGACAGCAGCCTATATTTTAAATATTTGTTTAATTGCATCTTGACAAAATGCACAAAAAGTTATTGTTTTTGACAACCTTGTGAACAGTGTTTTAAGATTTTCAGGTAGGTCTAATAGGTAGGATAAAGAAATTGCATAAAGTTATCAAACACTTTTGAAACACATTCTTCACTGCATAAAGGATAAATTAAATATAGATTAATCCTTATTAAAGCTCTTTTGTTCTTTGATTATCCTTAATATTTTGCTGTCACTTTAAGACCTGACGCACATCACGTGGATCTGACACGCATCTCTTTATATTCATTTAAAACTTCATTTAACTCATTTAAGACTGCTTGTTAGGACACTCGACAAAACGGGCCTTTTGGCATAATGTTGTGTGTTTTTGTCTGTGCGCTCGAGTCGTGTGTGTCTCACAGACAGGGGATTCAGATGTGGCACACGGCAGTAATGCACTGCGTTCTATTTTGTGTCTTATCGCGCTTGAATAGTTTGAAAGCATTTGCAAGAATAAGAGCGTGGTCATATAATGTAACACTAGCCAAAGGATGATGGGTAAAAAACAGATTCTGCGTTAATTGCGTTAAATATTTGTAACGTGTTAAACTGAAAAAAATGTATCGCATGCGTGAACGAGTTAATTTTGATTGCACTAGTATGATGTGATGAAATTGTAAAGTGTCTTATATGAAAGGTGTGTATATGTGTTCTGTCTATCTCACAGCTGCAATGGAGGGTTTCTTTCCATCTCCTGCGGGCGGATGAGTGACATCAGCTCCCAGAAAAATGACGGGCTGCTGGAAAACAGACGGGCTAAAAAACAAACAATATAAATGCACACAAACAAGGTGTTTAGTACATTTAAGGAAAATGTGTCCTAGCCAGAGAATTACGTTTTCAGTGAAATGGAACGGACTTAATCCACTTTCGATTTCTCTTACCGCTGATGGGGTACCAATATGTTGTTGATGCCGCCAAGTTTGACATTGATCTTGAGACACAGGTTGGAGAGGGTCTGAGGGGAGGTCTTTACCACATTCTTCACCTGAACGCACTGAGTTGCCATTCCCAGAAGAGTGTCTCCAACACGTTTCACTTCCGCTGGAGAACGAGAGCACAAACTTCAGTGCAACAGCCAGCAACTCAAAGAATATATCATGGGAAAATAAACACCAAATTTAAATCATTTAATTTGACAAAAACAAGATGGCGCCGAGTATGACTGACGTGTTACAAGTTCCAAACCAGTTTGGCAGTTTTTCGCGTTGGAGGTCCAACTGTATATAGTTTACTACTTGTACTGTATATGAGTCCCTTAATATGTATACTGCGTATATTGTAATTTGCATATATTGTTAACTGTACATGTGTATTTACCATATACTTCTTATCCATACTGCTATGCTGTGGCGATTGCACACCTGTGTTCAGGGTGTTGTACGAATAATTTGATTTGACACAGGTACAGACTACAATATGTTGAACTGTTGCACACATCTGGGTGTCAATTATACAAACAACACATTTTCTGTGTATCATCCTGTATAATACTGAATCATATTTCATTACAATATATAATTACTAGGGCTGTCAGTTAAACGCGTTATTAACGGCTTTAACGCAAACCCATTTTAACGGCGTAAATTTTTTTATCGCGCGATTAACGGTCTTTTTGGCCTAGCAAACTTTGTAGTTTTTTTTTCACATGCTTTTGCAACAGGACGCGGCATGCGCTTGAAACCCATATGTATATGATATGAAACCCATTCATTTCAATGGCTTGCGCCGCGCGAGGACGTTTTGAAAGCGCAAGCGGATCTAGCTAGACGTTCCCATTAAGTTATAAAAACGTTATTTCTGAATGTTATAGGAACGTTCAAAACGTCCAGTTTTGAGTGGATGATGAGCGCGAGACGCCGAAATGGATGGCAATAAGATTCTGAATGGAAAGTTTACTTTTAAAAAGTTGCCAAATGGTTGACAAGACCAAAGTGATCTGTGTGTTTTGTCGTTGTGAACTGAGCGATCATCATCGCAGCACGTCCAGTCTGAAATACCACTTGATGGCCAAGCGCGCACACACACACACACAGCTGATGCGAACTCTCCACCCCCTCGTCAATATCAGGGGGACCTCGTCAGTATTTCTTTCACCCTTTTATTGATGGACAGTGTTACATTGTGTGAGAGATTATTTGCTCCAAGTGAGAATGTTTTAGTGTGAAATTGAACAGTATATGCCAATATTGTTTTCAATAAAAAACATTTGCACAAAGCAAGCCGATCCACTTTTCCATGTTGATAAGAGCATTAAAATGAGAAAAAAATAATGGGACAAAAAGAAATCAAGAGACATTTAGAATAGATAAAAATGTGCGATTAAATGCGATTAATCGCGAGTCAACTATGACATTAATGTGATTAATCGCGATTAAATATTTTAATCGTTTGACAGCACTAATAATTACATATTTTACATATACACTACCATTTAAATGTCTGGGGCCATTACATTTTTTCATTAAAATAAATTGATACTTTCATTCCGCAAAGATGCATTAAATTGATCAAAATTTCCAATTCAAATAAATGCTTTCTATTCATTAAATAATCCTGAAAAAAAATTAATCATGGTTTCAACAAAAATATTAAGCAGCACAACTGTTTTCAAAATTAATAATAATAATAATAATAATAATACATGTTTCTTGAGCACCAAATCAGGATCATGTGACAATGAAGACTGGATTAATGGCTGCTGAAAACTCAACTTTGCCATCACAGTAACAACTAATTAAATTTTTAAATTGTAAAAAAAAAAATTCTTTTGCAACCAGAAATATTAAATATTTGCAGTAAATATTTTTTTTACTAACACCCGTTAAATAATGGCGCAAATGCATAGTTGAATCAGAGGTTTGATATTGATTCACAGTAAAAAGGCAAAATTCAAAAATAAAAAGCATATTAAAAAGGGCCTGCATCTGTCCATATATAGTTACCGTAGACAGGAGTTTTCCCAGGCAGTATGACGATGATGAGTTGCAGGCCAGCGTAGGTGTTTTTCAGGTGACGGAACATGGGCTCCACATTATCTGCTCCCTGAGCGTATTTGCAGAAACATGGCTGGCCTTGTATGGGCATCCCTGCATCCTTAGAGATCTTCCGCAGCTGGTCTGTAAAGCCCCTGCAAAAAAAAAAAAAAAAAGACAAGACAAAGAGAGATACTTTAGTATTTCGGTTTTAATTCCAGTAATAAGTAGTGCTTTGTTAATGACCAAAAGATGGAGAAAGCTTTACTTGAGAACTTCCTCTCTGCATTGTCTCTGAGTGGCAAAGCAAGCAATGGCCCACATCTTGATCTCCACACCAGTGTGAAACTGCTTGCCTCTCATGTCCCACACGCCATGGCTTGGGGTGGCTACTGTACGATTCTGTAACACATGTATACAAAGGTTGTCTTAATTTACTGAGATCAAATAGTGTACAAACTCAGATGCTATAGGATATAAATGTTTGGATGAACTTTACAGTATATAATGATATAAAAGCTGGCAAAAAAAACCCTCAAAGTTCTCACTTTGGGATCTTAAAGTGATAGTTCACCTTAAGTTGATCCAAACCTGTATGAATTTCTTCAATGGGGCTCATCAACTGTTAGGTTACTTATATTCTTTTGTCTTTTAGCAGAAGAAAGAATTTCATACAGGTTTGGAACAACTTGAGGGTGAGTAAATGATGAACTATCCCTTTAAAGCAAATCTGCTAAATGTTGGTTTAGACTGAAAAATATTTAAAAATATTTAAAAGGCATGTCAAACGCAAAAAAGGCCAAAATAACACCATACAAAGTCTATACAACAATATTCTAAGTCTAGCTTGACAGCAATAATCACCATTCACTTCCACTGTATGAAAAAAGCAGCTTAGAAATTCTGATTTGAATTTGTTATTTTGTGTTCCACAACAGAAAGTTTGCAACGACATGAGGATAAGTTACATAAAATCATTCAAAATCATACATTAAATGCTATATTAACATTCCTATAAATAGCTACACATATTCACAATATTTACACTAAATCACACATAACACACAATAAAAACACACATCAAAAATGAGAAAATAAATTGTATTTTCCAAATGCAAAAGCAAAATGTGTAAACAGAACAAGCAAGCAATTGAACATGAGCAACAAACCTCATTCCATTGAAAGCAACAGACAGAGCAACTAAAGGCTCGTTCACACCAAAAACGATAACGATAAAGATGTAGTTCTAAATATAAAGGAATAGCAGAGTCTACATAACAACTATAACAATAACAGCACAGAGAAACGATATCGTTGGAATCAATTTGAACGATAAAAACATTGACAGCCAATCAGAATCCATTCTGCTTTAAAGAGCTTGAGCATTTCAAGCAGAACACAATGTATCTGCAGTACGTGCTTAAAGTAAAGAGAACGATATCATCCACTGGTGTGGATGCTAATATAGTTATCATTATAGTTACCGTTATTGGTGTGAACTCTCCTTAAAAATTAGCATACACATTAATTATAATGTTAAATGTTAAATCTAGACACAAACCATGGCAAATTTCTAGCCTTCTACTCAAACACAAACAAACATACGGCGCATGAGTGAAAGGGGGCGGGTACCATAAAGTGTTCAGAGCTCACCCTGCCGCCGTACTGCAGCATGGGGGCGGGCAGGACGCGACCCGTCACCTCCTCCATCTCGTCCCGCACACGGAACTGGAACTCCTGCACGAAGGGGTCCGAGTTGTAGTTGGCACTGCGCACCTATGGTTTGAGCAAGAGATTTATACATGAGAATTGGGCCTTGTGACAGTGTTGGTTTTCCGCCACTGAGGATCTTAGATCATTGAGACTAGCAGAGATGTTGCGGAGTCTCTTTTCTTTATTGTGTTAAGAGCAGCGTTAGATGGCGACATGTTGAACTCACCAGTCTGCTGATCTCCTCTTGTCTGTCCGGTGCCGAGCGGGCCGTGGCTTTGATCATGGTGGAGGTTTGGTTGTCAGTTAATTTCTTAATGCAGCGCTGGCCTGCCACAATGTTGCACACCTGAGTGGTGAAGAGGATGGCCAATATGGTCACCATTAAAAAGGATCAAGACATCTAAAATCTTCTAAAAGTGCCGTTAAGTGTCTAAAAAATGATGTTTCAAAAATCCACAAATCAGGGAAGAGATGGCGGCTGCCATCTGAATGTGTGGAAGGAAATGGTAGCCAGATTCCTGCTAACATACAGTAAGTTATCAGATCTCTTGACTCTCACCTCCAAAGGCAGGTACGTGTGTTTCTGCTCCTGCCCCACTTGCAGGCAGGGCAGATGGGGGTACTTAAGCTGTAAGTTGTACTTTTCCCTGAAATATTGTGCAACTGTTCTCTCTACAGTCTGTCCATTTTCCAGCTGTAGAGGAAACCTGACAAATTAAAACAAAAAATTAATGGGGCACTGGGAAGAATGAAACAATGAACAGAATTGAAAGGATTCTGAGACAGTTTCTTAAGTGTTCGCTTCTTAACATAACAAACAGGACAGTCAAATATTTCCTTTAGTGAGAGTACAGCCTTATTGACCTGTCTGCTTACTGAGACACAACCTCACATTATCATAAGACAGATGAACAAAGCTGCATATACTCTTACGTCTGGTGGCTGGCCGGCCGTCGAGTAACATTACACACCCTGTACTTCCTCCGCATGGTGCCACAGTGGGTGACCTCCACCTTTAGACCTGATGAGAGGAGAAGATCAAATTTACACCACTATACAGACACAACTGGGCAGTTTACAGCTCAGCATAAGTCTTATATAGGTCTAAGAGAATTTTCACTATTAAATCCACTACAGTGAACATCATGTATTAATCCAAGTTTCAAAATATAATTTATGCAAAAATCTGAGGGGCAATTTGCAAATAAAGCAGCATTTCTTTACCATGTATCCAAGAGAACAAAATTGTCACTTACACATCTTTGTGTTTCCACACAACATTTTTATGTTATCCCGAAATGTGCATTAAAATATGTCAATGGAAACCAGCTACTGATATATAACATTTTTTTTTTTTAAATCTGCATTTATCTAATGTAAAAAACAACAACAACAGTAGTATCAGTAATATTGTGAATTGTTACAATATACAATAACGGTTTTAAAATGTAATTTATTCCTGCGATGGCTGAGCTGATTTTCAGCATCATTACTCCAGTCTTCAGTGTCACATGATCCTCTAGAAATTATTCAAATTTGCTGCTCAAGAAACATTTCTTACTATCAATGTTGAAAACCTTTTAACAAGTTTAAAAAGAACAGCATTTATTTGAAATAGATTTTTTTTTTTTAACAATGTAAAAGTCTTTACTGTCAATCAGAGGATTAAAGTCCAGGTTCAGAAAGTAAAAGAACTCCTCAGTATTTTGTTCCAATCACATGATTTGCTAAATAGCACAGTTTTTCAGCCAGGAGATAGAACTAATTAGTGAAATCAGCTGGCTGAGTTCATGGGTGGAATAAACATATGGCAGGACTTTTACTTTCTGACCCCTGGACTTTACACCTCTGCTGTCAATTTTGATCAATGTAATGCATCCTTGCTGAATAAAAGTATTAATTACAGGGTTCCCACACCTTGGTTAACTTCAAATTCAAGGACTTTCCAGGCCCAATACCCTCAAATTCAAGGACTTAATGTAGGAACACATTTGTAGTGTCGAAACACAAACGTTGAGGCATAGTTGTTTTGTGCGCGCGTGAACGTCATGGCAACGTAAAACACAAATCACCTCACGCGGAAACACTTAACGTAACGCGTAAATGCGCGTAGCAAACGTAAATCAAGGAAGCTAGTGTGCAAAGGCCACGAAGTGTTGTGAAATAACATTAGCGGACCAGAGGGAATAATATGGAATTTTTTTCCAGAAAACTAAATAAACAAAAAAAATTCAAGCACTTTCAAGGACCTGTATCTACTATGTTTTATTTTCAAAAACTTTACAGGGCCAAACTTTCAAGGATTTCAAGGACCCGTGGGAACCCTGTAATTAAAAATCGTAATGACCCTAAACTTTTGAATGGTATTGCCTTCACGCTACACATATCATGAACTCCCTGGGAATCAAACCTACAGTATGATCCATAGTCAAACCATTGACATTGCTAGCATTGCATTCTAATGTTATAGCTACTATAATTCATAATAGAGTTCTGACAATGGCTTTAGCAGTGGAAATCAGTCAACATACGACAAAGAAAATTCGATCACTTGCCACCATGTTCACACAAACCTTTGATCTCTTTGGTGAATTTGACTCTGTGGGAATCGGTAAGAGGACGAGGCTGCTCATCGATGTTGTGGATATCCAGAACCTCACACATAAACTGAATCACAGGTTGAGCTTTGTAGAAAGCCGTGGCAGACACTATGGGGAAAATAAACCTCGGTCAACGTTACACCAACAGTTAATTAAATAATTCATTTGAAGGTTGAATCCACCCAAAATGCACTGCAAACACTGTAATGCTATTGAAAGTGGCAATGCTTTTGCTTGTTGGACCAATGACAGATAGGGAAAAACATTTTTATTCGAAAAGTGTGCACAGAAATTGCACACTTAACATTGCTGAGAGACGGTCATTAATTGATCTTTTTTATCTTTAATACCCACATCCAGATCATGTAACTGGATAAATCAAGCAAAACTGTGTTTTTATAATCTTCTCTGACTTACCATCAATGTTCAACATCATCTTCCACATAGCTGGCCGCACTGATTGGTGGAAACCAAACCACACCTCCCTCCCTCCACCCAGCGGGTGATCATAGCCCTCGGGGGAGGAGAAAAAAGACCGTCCCACTGGGGTGTACCTGAAGCGAGAGAAGACAAATAACACAGATGTTACCTGCAGAACAAACATGTGCACTCCTAAATGATCCTTATCTAACTGCTAAACACTGATCCTTAAGAAAACACTAGTCTCATTTGACTAGGTATGCATTGCATTGCTGAAGACATAACAAGCACTTTGTTTCTAATTGTATTAAATGCCCTTTATGATCAAGTAAGAGTACTCATGGGGAACTCTTACCTCATAGAGGGCAGATGGCGCAGAACAACATCTACAGCGTGTATGGGATTGGTGCTGATTGGCTTATCCAGCTCCAGTGGATCAGACGTGCTCCGCCCAGTGAGGACCTCATGCAGCATGTGCCAGCTGACCAGTGACACGAATTTAATGGAGACCTTGAACAGCCTGTCCTTCCCACCTTCACCTGGCAAGGTCACATCCAGGTCCACCTACAGATATTGCACAAATTTACAATGATAGTTTTATTCAGTCATACAGGATAAAACGATTAAGGCATAGTCATGAAAACCTTCAAAAGTATGAGATGTTCCTTTAAGTTGTTATTTTACATGATTTTTTTTTTCAAATAAAATTGTGAAAATGCATTAGTCGGCATTAGGGATGCTAACGGTTAATTGACGATTGACTAATTGTCAATAAAAATGATCAATTAAACTTAATAAAAACGTAACGATGGTCGATTAAGCAAGGTCATCATTAGAGTGCATAGTTTTGAGGTGCGTGCGTATTTTTGGGGCACAAAAAGTATTTATATTTACAAAAAACGAAATATTGACTTTATTCAGTCATTTCTTCTCTTCTGTATCCGTCTCCGACGTGCGTTCACGAGAGCACCACGACGCATGCGCGTTGATGACGTTCAGCTGGCGTTCTGACACATGGGCCTTTAAAGTGTTCATTAAATAGCTGTCAATGGAGCCCTTTCTGAGCAACCGGATTTCATCAAAAATATCTTAATTTGTGTTTCCCAAAGATGAACGAAGGTCTTACGGGCTTGGAACAACATGAGGGTGAGTAATTACTGACAGAATTTGCATTTTTGGGTGAACTAACCCTTTAAGACATTCAAGTAGCTTTTATAAACATTAGGGGAAAAAAAACTACATTAGGTATGATAAAAGGAATATCATAATCAACACACATTTAATCATGACGTATCAAGGTCTGATTTATACTGTAAGGTACTTCCCACCAACCCTGGTATCCATTTATGTGTCTTACCCCCCCAGAGGCCACTGGTAACGGCTGGGCGGTGTAGAGGCTTTTCTTGCCATCATAGACAGGTCTTCTGTCCCCAAAGATTGTCACCTTGAAGTGCTGAACCATGGTATCCACCACCTCCCTAGAAGACATAACAGAAATAAAACCAGTTTTTAATTCGACTGTACGGATTAATTCACCTCCTGAAGTGGTTTGAGCGATCGGATTCAAATTTTACCATTTACACCTGGTCTTTTCACGATAGGATAGCTATCCGATCCCAGAAAACACATGAAGTGGCCAGGTGTAAACAGCCCCTTAGTTGTAAATATGCTGTTTGTAAAATAAAGAAGTGTTGCAAACAATGTCAAATGATATATTCTCAGTATTTGGCACCTGTTAACACGCCGTGGACACTTTTCTGGATTGATGTCCACCTCGTACAGGTAGACATCCATCTTGGGGATGTCCACCTGGAAGCAGTTGGCCAGCAGCTTGATGGGCTTCCCCATGGTGCCATAGCCTGGCCTCCGAGGAACGGAGAACAGGGGCGCAGCCCCAACGGCTCCTGTCAAGAAAATCACAGGGGATTTCCATCAATACGAGTTCTCAAAACTTATTAGATTAGTAAGACTTTCAACGTCAGTTATTACCACTGACCTAAAAGTGAAAACCTAAACAAGCTCCCACAAGAAATTACGTGTAAAAGCATGCAGCCGACACCATCATGATCAAGAAATTCAAGCCACAACCTTTGTATGGACATACAAGCGTTATTTTTCATCTGTCATCATTGACATTTCATGGAAATGAATTAATATACAATTAATATTAGCGCAGCAATCACCCATTCGTTTCTTGACATTGACGTTCAAAAGAGGGGGTGTTATCTGTTATCTGAGTTATTCCTCTAAACGCCTACTCACTGGAAACAACACTCAGCATCATCACACCACACATATTACAGATTACCCACACCTTACCAGATATTTATCAAATAAAACACACATTTTTTGAAAATTGTTTAGTTTTTTTTAAACCTGCTGCGGTTTCTAATCCACACGTGAACAAATTAACACTGATTTGGCAGAATCAGCATTTGCAATCAAATGATGAGACAGAAATAAAATAATTGCCATTAGTGTGTGACTTGACTGTTTTCATGTTTCATGGGGACATTCCATAGATATAATGATTTTTATACTGTACAAACTAGCCTATATTATATCCCCCTACACTAACCCTACCCACCACAGAAAGCTTTCTGCATTTTAACATTTTCAAAAAACATCACTTAGTATGATTTATAAGCTGTTTTCCTCATGGGGACCAAAACATTTTGGAAATAAAAAACAAGGACAAGAATTTTGGATATTGTCTTTGTGGGGACATTTTTGTCCCAACTTTCAAAGTTTTTTTTTTTTGTATGATTGTTTTGACCAAGTAAAACAGAGCTGCATTTCCCCACAACTTTAATTTGTCACATAAAGTGACCTGTATGAGCAATAATTCAGCACTTGCGGCTGTTTCATTCGAATGAAATAAAATAATGTACATTTATACAATCAAATGTAGCCTAACTGTAACAACAAAATGCAACTTCAAGGAAGGAGGTGGCAAACGTTAAACATAACTTAATCGTAACTTTAATTGTAAAATATGCATAAACAACAAAATGGATGGAGCGGCAGCAGCCAACTGTGGCATATTACCATTTTAAAAGCAGCAATGTAAAATGTCCCAAACTCTCAGCCCCATCCTGCTTCATACCACAGTAACGTTAATAAAACTTTAATATATTAGCTCATCCAAGAACTCGATTTTTGCCTGAGTCCCGTCGGATTGCTTTCTATTGGCTGTGAAGGTGAAGACGACAACACCCATGATTCCACATTCATTCACGGCGTCATCAATCTACGGTTGTTTTGAATAAGCGACTTCTAGCGACTAAACTTACATACTGTGCCTTTAACTAAGAGTAAAAAAAATCATTATTAGTTTATGTTAACTGATGAATTAATGTTAACTAATGAATCCTTATTGAAAAGTGTTACTGAACAAAAAAAAAGTATTTTCCGTAAATATCTAGGGCATGTTCTAGTCCAGATTATAATGTAAATAGCCATATTTACCATAAAAGACGAAATAACTCGTCAATGGCAGGGAAAGAGTTAGGCTAAGTATTAAGTATTTAATATTTGATGAGGAGATGAACACCATAGCGAATTAAAAAAAAAACTGGATGGTTGTTTGAAACATTTAAATAGTGTTCAGAAACAGATGCTGTATCCGAAATCACGTACTCTCTGAGTAGATACTACATTTGAATTTACTTCGCGACCGTAAAAAAAAGTGTGCTCTATATAGCATGAATATGGGTAGTATGAATAAAATTAGGATGTACTACATCCGCCATGTAGTTACTATCATGTGACCTGCCAGCGTCAGTTGCGATGCTTCACTTCCATTCATAAATCCCCTCCCGTGGCTTCACGGGATAGTAAAGTGTCCGTTAAATATACGCACAGAATCTCGGCAGTGGTAGTAGGTCCAGGGATGGAAATTAGCACCCGCCACCAGCCAAATGCGGGTGATTTTGTGTTGTGGCGGGTAAACTCGCTTCACCTACCGGCCACCGTGGCGGGTAAATAAAAATAGCATACTGTTTCACCCGGACGGCGGACACTTTTAGAGGAGGCACACCTTCAAACAAAATGTGGCGTTACATCGCAGGCGTAGAAGGTCGGCAGAGAAAACATCATGGTGCGTTCACACCAGACGAGAATAGAGCGTCTGCCGCGAGTGATTTCATTGTTAATGGTGTGTTCACACCGAACGCGAATTTAATTATTTGCGCGAGTAGATTACATACAAAGTCAATGCAAAGACGCGAATAGGCGCATCATTCGCGCCGGGCGTTGCAAATGACGCGAATTGGGCGACGCGTTTGCCGCGAATGTCTTCCGCGCAAGTTGAAAAATTTGAACTCGAGCGAATGTTCAAGCGATAGACGCATATTTGACGCTTTATTCGCGTTCGGTGTGAACACACCAGTCAATGCAAAGACGCGTTACGCGCGTAAAAAATTCCTGCGGCGCGAATGAGGTGTAGAGCGCGCCGTGGTAGATGCGAATACGCCTCATTCGCGCGGCAAGTTCGAGCGTCTGACGCGTTCCGCGCGCATGATTTTATTGAGTGCTTTTGTGCATTCACGCGTTTGACGCGAATTCGCGTCTGCCGCCCGAGTTGAAAAATCTGAACTTTAGCGTCAATTCGCGCCGCGTTAACCAATCAGGAGCCTAGCTGCTGTCACGTGGTGAAGTATCTGGATGCTTCAATAAATTATTTTGAACTAAATGCCTGATGTGGTTCTAATGCACAACAAAGCAAATATTTTATCACATTAAACTTGATTTCAATATATGAGACATATTCATTTTGTATTGAATGCTATTTATTCCATTTCATATCTAGATTATATTAAATATTATTCTAATGTAAAGGCAACCAACATACTATAGCTCATAAATCCGTGTCTGGAGAGTGTTGTGTGAGAGAAAAAAAAATCACAGGACAGGTTAATTACTTTTGGAGGCTGGCTCAATTTATCATCAAAACAAAAATAAATGACAGATTAGGTGGATGAGGCCGAGGGTGAGAGAAAAATGTCAGTATTTCATTGAGACTTGAGATTAAATGAACTGCTTAAGTATTCTTGTAGTATTAATTTTCACATGCAGTTACACATTGTCGGTTAAAAACAAGAAAGTGGCTGGTAAAAACATTGAGTGGCTGGTAGATTTTGAAATCCACCAGCCACAGTGGCCGGTGGACAGAAAAGTTAATTTCCATCCCTGAGTAGGTCATCTGCGGACTTTTCGCCAACTGTTTTTTTTTTATATTATGTATTCGGACATACTATGCTTTTGGTGTACTGTTTTTCGCACACTATATAGTAGGGAAGTGTTTGATTTCGGTGCAGCGAGAAAGTAGTGCAGCCTGCGTGGTTTTTGCTGTTCCATAAGCGCCATCTACTGTCAGAGAGTGAATGTGAATTTTGATTCAGTGCGTCTTCTTCACTCGTTCCGCCGTGCTTCTCATCCATGCTGGGCTTGTTTACATCAAAGTGTGCATACCTCTTTGATGAAGAATACACACAGTGATGTACATTTTAATCTAAAATATCTAAATACTTCATATTAAGGAATTATTCACTGCATTTTAAAGTGCCCACGATAACAATACCGTACATGTTCATTATCGCGATATATAACTGTATATCGGCACGTCTAGTGTCTATCAGCAGTTTAGTGTCTATACACGATACTCGTACGGTCTACTTTTTTTTCTAAGTGGGACATTGTGTTATCACATCATGTAACAGTAGGCGAGACTGTTACTGCTGTTGAACAGATGCTTTAGAGGGGGGTAACAGAACAAAACTGTAACTGAGAGGTGTGGAAGGGGAATTCGACTGCAACTGCTTCTTACACTTCCCAGTGTGCCGTTGCTATGCCGGTTGCACTCATGTGGCTTCTTTTCGCCATGGCAACCATGACTACACTAACAACCAATTAAAAGAAAAACAGCTGTTTCTATATATAGGCACAGGACCAATTGATCTCATAGGTCACACATGAACGTTTACTCTACAACGTTTGCGCAAAAATCTGACCATGAAAGCGTTGATTGTACTGTTCACACTGAGTCTTTTTCTCACTTCAGTTGAAATCCCTGAGAGAGTATGCTAAATATAGGAGTTTCTTGACATCACAGACTAAGAGAAACTGCAGGTTTGACAATGATGTGGTAACACACTCAGCTGAGTTCGAAAGCCTATTGTGTTGCTTGGAGTGTAACGCTCACTTTACTGGCAAATGGGGGACTGGCACATTTACAACAGGGGTTTCACTCATTCAGAGAATGAGACATCTCCTTTCTCATCATTTAATTATTCAAAGCTAGTCAAGCAAACGGATTTAAAGTTGTCTGTTACTGTTTAGTCAGACAGTTTTGCACTAGACAACAAGTGACATAGCCGAGGGAACATATTTTATTAGGGGGGTGCTGGGGGTCAGGGCTTGATATTGCAGGGTGGAGGATTTTAAACAAAATCATAATATTAAACAGCCCAAACAACACTTACAGAGGGAATGCGCATTCAAATGAATGAGGACAAAGTTATGTGAGAACGCTCAGAATTAAATAAATGTTAAAAACACTGCATATTTCACTACATGGCAGGACAAAAATCAGCATCTTACCTTATGATACCCATATGTATTTATGCGCTCAGGAGTTAGGGCCGGTTCACACAGAAAGCAAAGACTTTCAAAGCAAATAGCCTATACAAGACGTGTGCAGTGGAAATGGGGAAAAAGAAATGCATATTTTAGAGTGCCGCATTTTTAGAAAGATGTGTCATGTGTGAGACGCTGCAAAAGCGTGAAAAATTAAAAACATTTAAAAAAAAAAACTTTATTTTAAGTTGTGTCATGTTAAATTCCAATGTGAAACCCGCCAGGCCAGTTAGGCTACGTTCAGACTGCAGGTAAATGTGGCCCAAATCATATTTTTTTGCTCATATGTGACTCAGATCAGTTTTTCTCATGACCGTGTGAACAGCACAAAAGACATGGATACTGATCTTTTCTATTCTGATTTGGGCCACCTCAACATGTGTCATAAATCCAGTACAGGTCAGTCGTTTTGCAATGCGACCTCAGTCTGAACAGTCAAATCGGAATTCATCATCATTCATCACAATTCTGCGCTCATGGGAGTCACTTCAAATATTTTACATACCCAAAGTTCTCAAGACAATGTGAAAGATAGTAAGAGTGGAAGGACAGTGATGTGTCAGAACTCATAACTATTACAAAACACAACACGAGGGCGCGTATCATAATAAATGTTTCAAAACTTTTTTCACATCCCCATCTGTTTTAAATATTGCCTGCACGTGTATTCCCTGGCTTCTGTGGCAAATCACACTATAAACAAATGAGTAATCGCTTACTTTAATGTCCTCTGTGATTATTTCCGTATGACAGCGTGCTGCGTGACGTCTTTTTATCATAATTTTGCGCATGAGGTCAGTCCAGGACCATGTTCTGTTCACACTGGAATCTATCTGATATTAGCCATATTTGTTATCATCATCTGATATTGCCCACATGTTGAAGTTAGCTGGTAGCCTGATATGATAACATGAGAAATGAGCAGCGGTGTTGACCGTCTCCTGACTCAGATAAACTTCGCCTTTGTTCCTGATCACTCCTCAAGCCCAAGTTGGGCCACTTTGGACCAAGGTATTCGGCGGGCCAAAACCCCCAGGCCGTTGGCCCCAAGGAAGCCCCGATGAGGCTTGATCAAGCCCAGGAAGAGACAGTGAAAATGCGATTGGCCCTGGCACACACTAGCACGCTCAGTACTTTTGGCCGACAGAGGAAACACGGCTAATGTGAACAGCTATACAAGAAAATCAGATCTGAGCAATCAATCGGAGTTGAGCCCTAAGGCTCGCAGTGTGAACGTAGCCTTATTCTCAAATATGTCTAAATAAGTCATATGTATTGGGCCATTGTTATATCGTCAGCATTGATTAAAGGGATAGTTCACCCAAATATTTAAATTAGTCCATGATTTACTCACCCTGAAGTCATCCTAGGTGTATATGACATTCTTCTTTCAGATCTTTGGCGTAAGTCGACTTGCTAACGGCCGTCTGCCGGAAGCTAGTTATTTTAGTCGATAAAGTTTTAAATATGGATATTTTTCTTACACAAACGCATCGCTTCACTTCAGAAGGCCTTTATTAACCCCCGGAGACGAGTAGAGCACTTTAATCATAGATGGATGTGCTTTGATGGACTTCCAAAGACATACACCCATTCACTCCCATTATAAAGCCAGGACATTTTATAACCCCGATTGAATTCGTCTGAAAGAAGAATGTCATATACACCTAGGATGGCTTCAGGGTGAGTAAATCATGGGCTAATTTTCATTTTTGGGTGAACTATCCCTTTAATGTCCTTAATTGCTAGCTTATTTCTACAATGAGCAATTTATTGTTTACAAATTTACAAACATTTTAGTCAATTTTCAGTGCATGTTTGTGTAAAATACCTTTAGATTTAGTTATGCAAGCCTAATTGTTATTTGGTGAATTGGTGCCCTTCGCACAGTCAACCAAACGTCAACTATGTTAAAGCACTAACTTTCTTACAATATTTGTTTATTATAATGAAGTCATAAATAATAATTTGATAAGCGCTCAAGCAGTACCATTGCTATGGTTACCTTTGCAGGTGAACACCACTGATCTATGTAAATGATTTAATAATTTAAATAGATCAGTGCAGTGAATAATACCCACCCAGCCCATCCTTCTATAGAGTGCAACTATTGGGTTCCGGAAGTAAAAACTCCATTCACTTTTTTTCCACATGGAAACTGATTTTGAACAATAACTTAAAAAATAAAAAAGGCCATGGTATTTGCTTCTGCTGAAGCTGTCAGCACGCATTATGTCAGCTTATAAAAAAAAAAAAAATCATGTTTAACAGTGGAATTGTAGTTCTTTCCCTAACTAAAAATGTTAAATGCACAGTCTTGTACGTACCTTTGTCTTTTTGTCTGATTTTCTATTATTTTTTTGCTTCAAATCAAAGTTTGTAGTGTTGTGATTAACCTCGTAGCTGATAGGCTTGGTTCATGTGGCATAACTCTGTAACAAAGACTATTTAAACATCCTTATGGGAAACCTTTATGAAAAAAATACTTGTGGGAGAAAAGCACAAAAAATTAAAGTGGGTGTTTTAATATAGATATAGAGTGCACTGTTGCACTCTATATCAGTCAAGACAAGGTCCTGGTTATTTATTTATTTATAGTGACTTGGGGAAAATAATTTCTATAGGCTCTTATATTGATTTATTTAATTAATTATATTTATATAGCTCCTTTCAATTTTTTTTTTTTACAAAGTGCTTTACAATAAGAACACATAATAATACAAAAAAAACAAAAACAAATAAGATACAGAACTATATGCAATCATATTTTGCACAATATCTTGTTGTTATTTGGTCCTCCTAGCACAGTAGTCAACAATGAAAGACTTTTCAAAAAGACAAACCAAAAAGACAAACCAAAAACAAACTTTTCTTGAAATTTTCATATATATTCCAACGGACTAATAAAATTTAACCCCACACGTCCCAGATACATATATTATCTGCACTATACATTATGAGGTATCTACCAAAAAAATGTATTTTACTTATTAAATACAGAACGACTTCCAATTCAAAATCCTACGTGAGATCGTTTAGATTGATAATAAGCAGGTGATTCAATGACACAGTCGTTATGGCAACGGACAATCAGAAACTCGCCCCTCCCCCCGCTCCACAAACACGCCCCTCGCCCCCTCCCCCCGGCACCTGACGCACGCAGCACCTGTGCGTGACAGCTGGGCCACAATTGTGTGACGTCAGCAGAGCAAGTGAGTCAGGAGGATCTTCCACACACGGCGTATGATCGCAAAAAAAAAAAAAAAAAACCCTAACCAAACTCTCACAAAAATGTGGTTGCTACGCCCAAACGTAAATGAGCAGAAACTGGCTAAATCTAAATGCTTATTCATATCTCGAAAACCCGTTAGTAGCAATTGACCAAGAACTTTTGCTAAGCAATGAATGTGTGTTGTACTGACGGTGGACGTAACGTTAACAAAATTACACCGAGTCAATAGTACGGAATCGACAATAATCCTAAATCGGTATGAAAACCTCAAGAGCGACGTAATTTACCTGTAGTTCCGATTTCCATTCATGAGGTCTCTGTCCGGATTCTAGCCGGCTCCGGGGGATCAAATGCCGGCTGAAGGGTGTTTGTTTAAAGCCGCTGAATATCCTCCGTAAATCGACCTACAACCCAACTCCTACTGCGGTTGTTGAAACGGGCCGCTCGGAGGCTGTGCTCTGGTCGGAGGTCCACCCAACCAGTACGAGTCAATCAACCAAAAGTCACGAACTCCCCCCGTGTCTCCTACCGAGTGTCGCAGGATCCGTAAATGCTACAAGCTGACAAGACTCCAAAGAAAATATTTGTAACGTTAACAGCCGTCGCGAAAACAGAGTTTGTCAGGAGCCTCGAACCCTTCGCTCTGTGTCTTGTAAAGTGAACAATCTCGTATAATTTAAAGACAAACACACATATATGAGGCTTATAGCTTAATATCCCTCACTGAGTCGAAATTGTGTCTTTTATTCCAGTCGCTTTAGACCGAGTTTGCCAGCGGTCGTTGACGTCTCATCGACTCTGTGTTACCGGTTTGCCTTGGTTGGGTTTACCATCTCGGTACAGTCGCTATGTTGCCAGATCGCTAAGAAAACAAGCAAGCTGGTCTGATAAAATCAACTCGAAATAAGCGACTTGCCTCTCCAAAATCAGCCTAAATAAGCTTATTTGTGTTTTGTATAACTGTGTTATGGAAATAAGACAACAAACCCTAATCACTCATTCCTATAAGCGAGTCAAGCGACTTTGTGAAGCAACAAGCACAATGTTACATTAAAATGTGCAGACATGGCAACAATGAAGCAGGGAGACCCACAGGAAATACCAAACACAGGAAACATCGTCACTTCCTAGATAATGGCATTTATTTCATCCGAATTTTATTATCTATAAAATGTTTTTATTGTGAAGAAAGCATATATATATATATATATATATATATATACACCCTTCATATATATATATATATATACACACACATTCATACATACATACATACATATATTTGCATTTATTTTATGTCCGTTTTGAAGTATGTTAAGTTTCAAAGTATGTTATAAAATAAAATAAAAGACTTATTTGTTTTCACATTTAGTGTTCATCATTGTGGTAATCTTATATTTTTGTTTTGTAAATTTTTAATTGTATATTTTTGTATTAGTTTACAAAAAACTTTGGTCTACAGATGGCAGCAGTGTGCTTAGCATGCATGTCATTACCAGAGAAGAAGATCGTACTGGGACGTGTTCCGCACTTCCGCACTGTCTATGGTTCCGCACTGTAAACGTGAGAACAGTAAATTCATTATTTTGTTCTATGATCTATAAAATAAAGAGGCATTCATTCAAATATGAAAGATTACATCATGTGGGCACAAAACAATGACTACATATCGAAATATGTAAATAGAGCTAGTATTGAGATCAGTAACGTTACTCAATAAACTTTAATAAAATATTCTCTTCAGGTAAACAAGTGTAATGCAGGGTCAGGTCTTGGTCAATAACTTTTTTCATGTTTTTTGTTTATCTTCCGTAATTTGCCATCAGTCCATAGACACTGATCAGATATAGGCTATTATTTATTGGTATTTTATTTATTGACAGTTTGCATAGGATTAATTATTCTTAATGCATTTCGTAATGTTTCAGAGGGATGGATAAAATCATAACCTGTTTCAACAAGTGCCCAGATGCTTCTGTCCGTCTCATCTGTTTTCCCTGGGCAGGTGGAGGCTCGATCCACTATGCTCGCTGGGCCAAAGCTCTCAACAGCTCTATTGAAGGTAAAGAGATGAATATATAATAGATATGCAGTGATACACAATTTCACCGCCGATAGCGAACTTTGAACATTGGATAACTGTCGTGAGGTAAATGCAAAAAACATAAGGGCTTCTTCTTGAATCTTCTTTTGTGCATTAGTGCATTCAAGCACTCAAGCATTAGTGGAAGGAAGTGGAAGCTGTCACGTCACATTTAAGAGCGAATTTCGTGATAAAATGGACATAATTTGAAAGCTGAGACTTTGTTTCTTATCAGAAGTACTTCAGAAGTATAATCATGGGATTATAAAATGGGAGACAGGCTACAAATAATGTTTGATGTAGGGGAAAACAGCGGACCTACAACCCTGGCATGAACATAGGGTCACACTGCTTTAAAGGGTTAGTTCACCCGAAAATTTAAATTCTTTAAGTTACTCACCCTCATGTCGTTCAAAACCCATAAGACTTTTGTTCATGTTCGTAAGGCAAATGAAGATATTTTTAATGAAATCTGAGTGCTTTCTGTCCCTCCATTGACAGTCTATGCAACTATCACTTTAATGCTTCAAAAAGTTCATAAAGAGATCGTAAAACTAATCAATATGAATTGAGTGGTTTACTCCAAATTTTCTGAATAGACACGACCGTTTTATTTGATGAACAGATTTAATTTAAGCTTTTATATTTACATATAAACATTCATCAACACATACATCTGTAATGGTAAACGGAAGCTCAAGCATTTCTCAGATTTCATTAAAATGAACAGAATGACACCCCTATTGATTAACAGGATATAATCGGCCCTGATCATTGGCTGTGTTTAAATACAGTGAAAGTTGAAATAATTGCTTTTATCAGCTGATACCTATTATTGGTCGCTACATCGGTGCATCCCATGTATATATATATATATATATATATATATATATATATATATATATATATATACATCTGTATGAAACTCTCTTTCATATATATATATATATATACATTTGTAATACATTTTAATTTTTTAAATGGTTAGTTCACCCAAAAATTTAAATTCTGCCATCATTTACTCACCGTCTCATCAATAAGAACGACTCATGTCGTTCCAAACCCGTAAGACTATTGTTCATCTTCGGAACACAAATGAAGATATTTGTAATGAAATCTGAGTGATTTCTGTCTCTTCATTGACAGCTGCGCAACTGCCAATATGAATTGAGCGGTTTAGTCCATATTTTCTGAGGTTAAATGGTGAACAGATTAAATTTAGGCTTTGATTCACATATAAGCATTCATCAACTCACACATCAGTTATGATAAACAGAAGCTCAAGCATGTTCGCTTGACGTGTGAGAACCAATGAGGTTCATTCTCGTGTTACACAGCACGTTTGAGCTTCTGCGAGAACCAATGAGGTTTGTTCTCGCACGTCATCAGGTTTTGGTTGAGCTTCTGCTTATGTTCACTGATCAATGTTTATATGTGAATAAACGCTTAAATTAAAGGCTTAAAGACAATTTTATTATCTTAATTTGATGAACTCAAGATGAATGCAAGTCTTACGGGTTCGGAACAACATTAGGGTGAGTAAATGATGACAGATTTTTCATTTTTGGGTGAACTATCCCTTTAACCTAATTTATTTGAATTGTTCATATATTTTCAGTATACTCAGTTAGACTGCCAGGAAGAGAAGGGAGAACCAAAGAACCATTTTTCCAAAATATGCAGGAAATCATTGATGAAGTCATAGGTGTGATACTTCCACAACTCAAAGAAAAGCCATTTGCACTCTTCGGACATAGGTATGTGAGACTGTTGCTAAAGTATACAGGAAATGGTGACAGGTTTTAAAAAGGTATATAATGTCCTGATCCTGATGTGTAGGGCCAGGACAGTGACAGCATAATAATGCAAATATATATATATATTTTTTTCTGTAGTTTTGGAGCTATGACCTGCTTTGCCTTTGCCGAGCATGTAAAGAAAGTCTGCAATCTTGAGCCGATTCACATGTTTCTCTCTGGAGCTTCTGCACCATATGTAAGTGTGATTTGATCTGTATTGTCATATCTGTCAAATGTGAATGGAATTATGAGAAAACTGCCAGAACCATTTGCCACATGAAAACAAACATGAGGCATGATCACCCCACAGATTATGTGAAATACACAGTATCTTCAAAAACCCCAAAATGAACAGATTTCATAAAAGTTACACAACATTGAGTGGTTAAGCCGATTTTTTTGTTTTTGTTGATATTTTCATTTCTTTCTTTATTAAAAAAATGTGTACTTGTATGTATAAATATATCTAAATGTATTTTTATGTAATAAAATGACATTTTCTGTAAGTCTGTGACAAGACTGCAGGCGCCAAAAAGAAGTGATTTGTCAGATCAAGAGTTTCTTATATGGGTAACTTCTATCGGAGGCACACCACCAGAGATACTGGCCAATGCTGAGCTTGCCAAACTCTTCTTGCCTGCGCTGAAAGCAGACATCGGTGTAATGGACAACTATAGGTGGGTTTTTGAGAAGAAACAGACAAACAAAGTATTTCCTTAGTGTAAAAAACATCAGCATATGTGGCATAAGAACTTACGTCTTTATAATATAATATGTCCGGCAGGTGCAGCAGACCATCAACACCTTTCCTATCATGTCCAGTGTCATGCTTTGACGGAAAAGAAGATGTACCCCATGACTTACAAGGCGAGTGGTTCATTTTTTTACGAACTATAACAATTCTGCAACAGCATGCATGGTTTTGGTTTTATAAAGCCGTCAGCTCGGACCAAACTGGTTATTTGTTCAACGTAATAATAATCACATTTCATGAATGTATTATCATTCTACAAGCTTTAGATTTATGTGTAAGTCTTGTATTGTGTCTCTTTCGCTTTATAGCTTGGAAGAACATGACGAGTGGGGACTTCACTGTGCAGATGCTTCCTGGATCTCACTTTTACTTGAAAGAAGCAGCAAATGAAAAATATATTCTGGACCACATCACAAAACATCTTGAGACAGCAGAGATGGACTATCTATGAAAACTCTCTTTCATTAATCTGACTGCAACCATGATAAATCTATGCCATAACTATTAATGTATTCTTAATTTATATTCTCTAATGGAACACAGTTTGTTGTGATTGTGAAAAAAAAGAGAGAGAACAAACAGAGAGTAAACCAATTAATGCCAGAAGTAATCCATTCCATTAATTAAACACTGAAATGACCAATATATCATGATTATATACTGTATAAACCTATAGGCCTACATACAGATATAGTAATTTTAGAGGATAAAAAGCTGCCATAGGCCTATGAAAATATTTATCAAGTAATCAACCTCAAACCTGTACAAATATATAGCTAAACTATTTGTATGAAATAAAACAGACTGAGCCAGTTGCTTCATGTTTTTTTTTTAATAGTAGCACCCAGGGGTTAAAAAAATTCTCGAAATGTTGGCAAACGTGGTTCTGACAAAAAAAATTGAAAAATGCAAAAGATGTTGTGGGTGACTTGCCACGGCGTTTTTGAATTGTTCTGAGTGTTTTTGTTTTTTGCCTTGCTGTTCTACGGCGTTCACGACGTCGGACCTCGTCACCTCCAAGTGATATTCGGTTCTATTTGCGATTCAACAAAAGCACGTAGCCTATTACTTGCAATAGCTGAGACTAGGGGTCGTAGAGTATGGTACGGTCATATGATGACTGTCTCATTGAGTGAGTAATTGTTGAGTGTTACTATGCTATTTAAATTATTGAAGGAGCTGCGGTTGCGTCGCCCCGTTACCAGGAGACCCGCTTACTGTGTTCCTGCACTCACAGCAGGCAAACAACACTTCTGAAAGTTTCATCCGTCTCGGTAAGTCACAAAGTCAGATAAATGTTTGTGGCGGCTTACAAATGACATGTTGCCTACATTAACTTGTTTTTTAAAAAAAAGGGGAAAAAAGATTTTAACTAAAGTCAAATGTTCATATTTTAGGTACTGAATTCTGTCTAAGGTCTCCACCTAACTTTTTTATTTTGCTGTGTGACAGTTCCATCTTTAAAAAGTTAAAATATTCAATAGTCTCTCAATTACGAGTTCATGAAAAGTAAAAGACGTTAGATGAAGTAGACTATATATCATGTCACTTAAGGAAACATCTTGAAATGTCACTCTATTGCTTTGCTCTATCATTATGATTATATATGATAGCCTGCTATATCTATATATCTTCTTTAGAATGTGACACTGAAGACTGGAGTAATGGCTGATGAATTCAGCCTTGTTTTTCAAATAGAAAACCATTGTTTTAAATTGTAATAATTTTTCACAATATTAGGCTACTTTTTCTGTATTTTTGATCAAATAAATGCAGGGTTGCTCATGAGCAAGCCTTCTTTTGAAAAGATAAATAACATAATATCTTAACAAAATAACATGAAAAGAGAAATAACTTCTTTCAATAACATAAAAAATAGTAATGTTTCCAAACTTTTGACCAGCACTGTATAGGCTTATGTATAAATGTATTGCTGTGGCCTGGAAAAAAATCACAGAACTTTAAGAGCAACATAGCAAAAAACAAATAATTTTTTTTAAAAATACACTCAAATACCACCAGTTTCACAACATTTTTATTATCATACACATACTTATGACAATAAATAAACAAATTAAATAGGAAAGCAATATGTGGGTGTACGTAGGAGAAGATAAAAACAATATATTAGAGAAAAAAAGAATTTGGTGAACATTATAGTGTCTTTATATAGTGCTTTTTGAAAAGCACAAAGCGGGGTAATGAATTTAGGTAACTTCTAATGCCTGTTGGTTTTGGTGATCCTTATATATGTCTGAAGTTGTTTATAAAAAACCAAAATGTTAAGATTTCACCAGTGAATTTGATAAACATTTCTGACATTTTGTCCAATAATAATGATTTTATATAACATTTTATTGATGTATTTCATGCATGAATAACAATCAGAACGGTAAAACACAAACAGAACCTTTAGATTCAGATGGATAACCATTTGCCTGTTTGCCAGAACTACTTCTTTTGTGTTTGTCATCTTGTTTCTATGGGACCAGATACCAGCAAACATGGCCACCCTGAGCTCGAAGCCAAGCTTGCGTTACAGTGTGTCTGACTGGGCAACTAGCAATAAACAGATCTCAGAAGCTGCTGAGCACAAGCGCAATATTTCACACGAGATACGGCAGGCAGGAAGAGATCTGCGTAATGAGACGGCCAATAAGGTAATGCATTAAAGATCAGGGTGGGAAGTTGTTTGGCAGGTCAAAAAATTACTTTATTTTAAGGTGACATGGTTACATTGTACTTATTCAAATAAGTAGGGCCTACTAATATTAATTAACTACATGCACTTACTATAGAGTTACAATTAGAGTTTGGTTTAGGGTTAGTTACTTGTAATTATGCATCATTTACTGTTATTACTATAGTAAGTACATGTAGTAACGTGTCAAAAAATAAAGTGTTACCAAAATTACCACTAATTAACACATTTGTAACACTTTATTTTACAGTGTCCCTTTTACACATCTTACATGTATAGTAACAGTAAATTATGCTTAATTACAAGCAACTACCTATAACCAAACCCTAATTATGCCGAAAGTATATGTAGTTAATTAATGTCCCCCTGTGGTGAAAATCAAGTTTTTAATGTTGTTTATATGCCTATGTGGTGTTTTTAATGTGCTTTAAGAAAAAACATGTGCAAATTCATAAGTCAACACCATTGCTGAGTATTTTCTCCTTAAAACTGCAGTGAACCAAAGACACGGTTTGAAATCGCTGGTGTTTCTGACGTCACAAAGTACCTTGTAACCAATCACATCGATATGTGATCGTCAATATAGATCTCTGAGCTGGTGTGAGTGAGTGGAGGCAGGGCCAATTTCCATATTCAAAGAACAGCTTATACTAAATGAGGCAAGGGTGTACTTACATTCAAGCTATTTTAAGGCACAAAAAACACTTAAATATGTCATTTTGGTGATCAAAGATGAGTTTTAAGGGATAAGATTATTGACTACAGGGGGACTTTAATATTACTCAGTGCTTAAATATATAATTACACTGTAACAAAGACACCTTAAAATAAAGTTTAACCAACAAATTCTTTGTTGTTTTTCTCACTTGATCAGACGAACTGGGAAGAGTATGACAGCAGCCGGCGACTGAGTGACAGAATCAATGACGTCGTACGCTGGAAGGAGAATCTGAAAGCCTGTGCACAGGAAGTGGATACAGAAATGGACGCACTAACCCTGGTGATTAATGTGTCCCTAAAAACGTCTTTTTTTCCCATCTCTTGAAGTTATCAAGTGAAAATATTGATATCAAGAATTAGATTTCTACTAGTAATAATGGCAGTTTTTGATCAGGAATTATATTTCCATTGCACTGTAAAAAGAAAAGAAAAGAAAAGAAAAAGGTTGTTGCCTAAAATTATTAAGTATAATCACCTTGGTTGTTTAAAGTCATTTCAACTTAAATTACATTAAACTGACTTTAAAAAAAATGAGTTAAAAATTTTACAAAATGGCTTAACTAATTTTGATGAGTTAAAGCGATGTAAAAACGTTTTCATATCAAACTTATTCAACTTAATGATTATATAATTTCTTACAGTATATCCACAATGACGTCATCACTCGCAGAAATATGAATTCTTGCAAGAATTAAATTTCAACTAAAAACTATAATTCTTCATATCTGTAATTGTATTTTCCCTAGTTAAATGTCAGCTTAGGCTGCCATTCAAATTCAATTGTTGATATCAAGAATTGATTTCTTACTAGTTGAAATTCCAATTTCACATAATCAGAAATACAATCCTTACCAGTAAAAATCATCATTTTTGATATCAAGAATTACGTGGTTACTAGTACAAATGTCTTGCATAATCTTAAGTATCAGACATACCTGAATGTCTTTACAACACTGAACAATTTTGAGTGAACATGTAAAAACAATTTTCATTCAGAAATTGCTGTAAAGAAACCCCAAGTAACACATTGAATTAAACATGAAACTCTGAAATAGTCTTTAATGTAAAATGTACCATAAACGTTTTTTTTTACAGTGAAGAAATGTGTTGTAAAAAAAATATAATGCAAAATAAATAAATAATGCAATGCAAGAAAAATGTGTCTTCTAAAAAGACAAACAAACAAAAAATCTCAAGTGTATTCATGAACCCATAAATCATTGCTAAGTCCAAGGAGGAGACAGAACGAGCCCTTGCAGCCACTGTTCTGCCCCTTGAAGTCACTGCGGAGTGCTTGACCCTGAGGGAAGGTCGTCGTGGCAAGGAGCTGGTCAGTGACCCTGTAGAAGCTGAACTTAAGAGGGAAGTAGAGGTGATCGATGGAGCACAACGCAGCCTTCAGCAGTGCATCGATCAGGCCTTTGAACAGCTGTGGTAAGTATAGTACAGTCAGATAGACCTTCATTGGTTTGAAGCACTCAATAGCAATCTGCTTGGCATCTTCTCAGATCTTCTCAGTCTTATCAGATCTTCTCAGTCGTCTACAGGAAGCACGGCAACAGCTGACCATTGACCTTCAAGATAAAATAGAGGCGCTTGATGTGGACATGTCATGCTTGTCTCTCACTATACGGTCACCTGAGATCTCCCTGAAGCCCAACCCCACAAGGGTGCCCCCCGGGTGAGTAAATGTGCTATCTTGGTATAATAATAATAATGCCCAGAGAGTATATTATAGGACAATTATAGGTATGTAGACATTATGTATGTAGTTTAAAGTCGGCATAAAAAGGAAGTTGTGATAGTCGATTCTTCCTATTGCGACGTATACCCGAGTGAAAGAGGTTCTCAAACAAGAAAACTGTATTGCCGGATTTGATTTTTGTCCATCAGGAATCGATTGCATCGTTGTGGTTCTATAACGACTAAAACGTGCCTTTGATTAAAGATTACGAGGGCACAATAATGATGTGCACCTACATCATTTATAATATATATTGCAATTTTGTTTTCATGATGACTTTAAATCTCCATTTTTAAATAAATAAACATCAATCCTCTATGATAATAAAATGTAATTATT